GCAACAAAATCGACAATCCAAGTCATAATTAAATTATGCCGTGCAATGGGATGCAATATCATAAAACGTTTCTCCCCCAATTTCCAAAGAAAACAATTCCGTTTCACCGATCCAAACCGTCAATGCAACCCGACCCATAGCACCTCTATGGCATCACAAGGAGAAAGTTGGCTAGCAATCCCCGACCACATGGCACCTATATGGCGTCGTCTGGGCCTAGGTAGTTCAACCTCCCTCTAGATTACATTAACACGACGGACCACTAGGCGCCTCCTAGGTGTCCGGGTTTTTGCAAACCTTTCATCAAACCTTTTTCCTAAAAATCATTTAACTTTCATTTAAATCAAAATTTTCCCATTTGATGCCCAATGATATGCATGGATGTCTCATGCTTTCCAATACTATATCAATAAAGGATTTTGTAACTTTCAAATCAACATGTTTCTATATCTCAAGTCTTAACAATTTATACATCATAGGCATGAAAATTTACCACATAAGCATGTTTTCTCATACAAATCAACTAATACACATAGGCATATAGTTCATCTACAACAATTAAGCCAACTTAGAGAAAATCAACACATTTATGCCATGTTGGACAACAATTCATGGAAAATTGACTCACATAAAATCTAAGAAGTCATGGATTAGAAACCCCTACCTCAATTTGAAGAAAAGCCCCAAATTTACACTCTAAACCCTAGAAATTCGAAATCCCCAAAGGTGGGCAAATGGAGATAGGCTCCGATTAAATCGTAGATCTCGACGCGCTCTCTAATTTGCCGCAAACGGCATTCAAAAACTCTAAGAATCGAAGGAGTAATCAACCTTTGAAGTAAGAAGATAAGAAAAATGAAGGGAGAAGAGTAAGAGAGATAGAGTGCCGAGAGAGAAAAAGGAAAATGAGAGGCCAAAATGGCCTCTTGACCTTTTAAGGTGGTGGTGGGTCCCATCACCAAAATTTATTATCTTTTTAATTTATTTATTCTTTTTTGCACCACACAATTATATATATACACAAACTATATAAAATCCATAAAAAATATATCAAATAAAATGCATGTGATACCAATGGACCCAACTAAAATTTTCGTACGTGACAATTCCGATTGCGGGTCCCACACGGGACAGTCCGGCTCAAAAAACGGAAAAATACCAAAAGTAACAACCCATGCATTTCAAAGAGTCATAAACTCAATGAAACGCCTTGACCAATTCACGAACACCTCCAGCACACCCCACGGTGTCCGGTAAGCAAAACGAGAAAAGACAAAAATGCCCTCGCAAAACAAAAATCCTAGAAAATAGAAAATGATGAAAATTGGAAACATTACATAACTGGAGCGAGGTACTTCCATGACAACAGGAGAGTGAAGGGTAGCGACCCCCTCCTCTAAACAGTGTAGGCACGTAGAAAGAAGCCCATCCGACTGGAGCGGGGCCTCCCTCGTAAGACCTAAAAGATAGAGCTCTGGCCTACCATATATGTTCTTTACATAATGCAAATGTGGCCTTGCATTAATAATATTAAAATGACAAATGGCATCTGACGTAGAACCATCATCTGCAGTAGTATACACTCATTTACAATTCATGGATGATCACGATATTTAATTTAGTAATTTAAAAAAATTTATTAATTTATTATTAGTTTATATCAACGGTCAAATGACGCGCATATTCATTTAAAGACTTAAGTATTGCCTTAATAGGATATACCTGGCATTTAATGATTGTTGGTGAGCGTATTGGGTCGATTACTTCTGACTTTAAATATGTCATTTATTATTATTATTATTTTTTTCTCCTCTTTAAATATGTCAGTTGTCTTGGTAAAGTTTCTTAATAGCCGTAGCAAATCATTCAGGAAAAGAAAATAGTCATAGCAGAATCCCGGACTAAGGAGATTAACAATAGGGTAATCTGTAAGTTGAGTTTTCCCTCGCCCACCTATAGGTGCACTGTGCGTGTGCTTGATTCGACTCTTGGGTCATAGTTTTGAAAAATACTTAGCTTACAAATCTATATAATTTGCAAAAAAAAAAAAAAAAAAAAAAAATAGGCTTAAAAAAAATTCGGTTCGTGTATATATATACTTGTTTAATAAAAATTCCACCACACATATTTTAGAGTTTTCTAGTATATATATTTAGGTAAAGAATTCTAGTAACTATCTATAGACCTAAAAAAGATTCTAAAATATTAGAGAGTTTTTGTAGTATATATATTTATTTAAGTAAAGAATTCTAGAAACTAAATCTTTAACTATATTGCTTACCAATTCTAGAAACTAAATCTTTAACTATATTGCTTACCAAACGTCTACTATATATATATATAGAGAGAGGTATGAGTAACATTTATAACAACAACCTTTACAGTTTGAAAGCAGATTTCTAACCCGAGTAGATGATAAGTCACGCAAAATCGCAACATCCACAAAATGAAATATATATCCGTATGGTTTGTTTAATAAAAATTCGGTCACATGTTACAGGTATGAAGAGAAATGAAAGGTCCTAACATATTAAGAAGTGTCGTAGAGATATAGAAGATTCTAAAATATTAGAGAATTCGTATCTTTTTTGGGTGAATATCATTAATTTTGTATAACGTAGTAAGAAAAATTTACGTATAATAATACCTCAATAATGTCATAAACTTTGTAACACAGGGAGGAAGGTAAGAATAAAGGATTAAGGGTTTTAGAAATTTTTTTTTAATTTTATTTAAAGAGAAAGAGAAAAGTGGAGCGTTGAGATATTGTTTGCCCTTAGCGAAGATATTTATGGAGATGTTAAATAATAAATGAAAAATGATTCTTGTACTGATTAATTAGAGTAAATTACTCGATTACTGTTTTTAATTGGTATAAATGCAATAAATAAGAAAGTGGATCCTCCACTTGGTTAGACCATTCATTTCCAATCTTAATACTGAAAGATATTAAGAGCTTCACTAACTGTGGTGTATAAATATATATTTTTAAATTTGATTTGTCATAGATTGACGCAAAAAATTTAGATTGTTTATTTTTAGATTCGTATTTTATACCTTTTGTGTCAAAATATATCCTCCAATAACAACTAACCATTGTCATGGACTACAAATCTACTTAATATAACATTGATTCGTTAATTGAATGAGAAAGAGGGAAGAGAAACGAAATATGCTCTTAATAGACTGCTGAAGGAAAAAAAAAAAAAAAAATTACACAACCTGACACTGTATATTTTATGCAAAATAATATTTTAACACACGGCTGGAGATGTTCTAATATTAAAGTATGAGTAGATATTGAAAGATATTTGAACAATATTGCAATATAATTTATCCTAATATTTTTGTTTTGTTTCAAAATGTGGCTTCAGAGATAATTCAAATCCAAAATTATAAACTAACAAAGCAAAAATGGTACCCCAACCATCTTTTCTCAATTCTCATCTGCTCCACTCAATCGGGTATAATCCTTGTTGCAGTGATTAGACCATGGCATCTCTATTTCACTTTAAAATTGAAATTAATTTTCATGGATGCATGCAATTACAACAAATAACATATTTTGACAAATTCGTTTGAGTCTAGCCTAAAGTAATATTTGTACCATTTTAATTTGACCTTCTCAATATATATATATATGTACAATTCTAGTAGCTTTGACGAGTTGATTTGAATCTAGCCTAAAGTAATATTTGTACCATTTAAATTTGACCTTCCAAATATATATGCAGGCACAGATGTAGATCATGTAGTGAGGGCGGACCTTTACTGAAATTTTTGTTATAATATTTTACACCCTTAAATTTATATATTTTTATATTTATATCTATAAAATTTTGAAATTAATCCCACTAAAATTATAAAAAAAATTCTTTATATAAATTTGCCCCCATATAAATTTATAGATTGGTTCCTATATATATATATATATCTAATTTTAGTTGCTTGTTATGTACTCAATATAATAAGAGAGCCTTCCATCATAATAGCTAGGTGCTATTGTTTGGGACATTTCTGTTATCCACTCAGAAACATTCTTTGGCAAAAAGGATCTTCAAAATGCCTATATATGGTTGTTGGGATTAATGCAATGTGCCTTGTTTTCTTGACAAATGAAGACACTAATTATTTTATTTACAAAGGATTAGAACTAAAAAAAAATAGGCCATCAATATTCAACAATAATTAGAATTCAAGGGTTCAATCATTTTTACAACTTAAGCTTTACTAATAAGACTTTAAAATCAAGTCATACTACCCACCAACCTTGTTACCCGCAACTTTTCATTCGCCCACGCGCATTAAACACGTAAGAACTCTATCCAATCACAAGCCAAAACTATGCCCAAGACTGGTTTGAACATTGATTTTTTGAACTAAGTATCTTTATTCCATTAACCTAATTTCCATTTATGACCCTATGGAATGCCAAAATGGGACCTGATTAAATTGCCTGATTAAATAATTTCGGACCTGAAAATGGGTCAAAATACCCTCTCAAATCTTCGCAAGATCTGACCTATCCGGAGTGTTCACCTAGTAATAAGTGTTTACCCACGTTGTCATAATTTGTTCTATATCAAATCTTGATGAAAAAGTAATTTGGAATAAATGGATGAGTATGTAGTATTACTTAACAACTTGAATTTTTCAGTAAATTGGTAAGCGCCAACCTGTTATAATTAGTATCAAAGTCAGACCCAATTCTTGATCCAATGTCACGGATGTCCGGGCAAGTACTCCCGGTAGGCAAGATGGCCCGAGCAGTAAAGAATGTAACAAAGGTCATTTGTCCCGCATCGAATTCAAATAGAAAATAATTGGGTATAAATGAATGGATATGTAATATTACCCAACAACTTGAAGTTTTGAATAAATGAATAAGCCCTCTGGACTATGCACCTCTGTATTGAATGCACAATGCTAGAAGAGTGTTTTGAGTATTTTCTAAACTTTTAAGGGCCATTTTGGTCACAACGAATGAGTGTTCTCTCTCTAAATGGAGAGAGACCCAAAAGTAAGAAGAATAAAAGGGAGTAGTGTTTTGAGGTTGAAATTCCTGAGAAAAAATAAAAAAAATTAAAAAAAAAAAAAGCGCAGAAGGAAAGTTAGAAAGAAAATCGAAAAGAAAATAACATTAACTACATAATTCTAGCGAAACCCAACACATCATCAACATCAACAACAACCATCCGAGATTGCTTTTCTCTAACCCCCATCTTCCTTCTCTCCTTCACTCCTTTCCTCAGTTGTCTGTTTTCAGATTTCGATCACCGGCTGTACACACAAACTTCTCTTTTATAAGCTGGGCTTTTCCAAAATCTCTATGTAGGTATCAACAGCTATAATCTATTTCTATATGTGTATTGTTAAATGGGACTTTAAATTTCTTTAATCTATATTCCTTTGTTTATTTATTATTATTTTAAATACTTTTGTAGGTGATTCTTGATATAGAATGCTATATGGGTGTTGTAGATCATACCCAGATCTTGTTTTCTTTTGATCTAGCTGAATAGCTGTGAATTTTTGTGTGAAACTGAAGAGAGAGAAATGAGGTGAGTGTACATCTTGCTTTTCCTTTATATTTTGAACACCATATAAAGTCAAAATCCTGGAGTTAAATTTTAGTAATCTGGAAATACTACTGCACATGCTATGTGATTTGATGTTTGCGCATCTGGGTTTTTTTAAATGATGAACATCATATGAATTTTTATTTTAAGAAAGGGTAACCGAAAGCTGCGATTTTTCTTTTGGTTGACTTGATATGAAATTCAATTTTTATTTCAGATTTCTCGCCATTTGAAGAGGGTTTGATTTGTTCTGCTTAAATGAGAAGGAGATTCATTCATTAGACTGGTACACCTTTGGATTATATGGAACATGCATCTGGGTTTATGACGGAGAAGAGGATAAGAAGCTTATTGTGGTGATTAGATGCTGAGTGTATTGCGAACGTTGGGTCAATTGGTTTTGCTGCATCTGGGTTCATGTGCTTTTGCTGATATTTTATCCATCCTTAATCATTGATGATGTGCCTTTTGCATTGAAAATTCTTTGATCAGTGTCGTGTTTTTGTTTTCACTCGAAAAGTTTGTGGTTCATTGAAGTTATGATCAAACAGATACTTAATAGGCTCCCACGGAAGCCATCTAAGTCGGGTGAAAATCGTGATGGGGGAACCTCTACCTCTTCTTCGTATGCTTCTACTAGTTCAAGAAGCAATGATCTAGCAAATAATCAGTCCAGGAACTCAAATGCTGCATCTCATCCGGCTCTTAATGCTACTTCAAATTCAGGAGTGAATCATGGAAATAAGCTCCCCCAAGCTCTAAATGCAAGGGTAAATGGGGATTCAACAATTTCTTCATATGAAGCTTTGCCTAGTTTTAGAGATGTTCCAAACTCTGAGAAGCAGAACTTGTTCATTAAAAAGCTGAACTTGTGCTGTTTTGTCTTTGACTTTACTGACCCAACAAAGAATTTGAAAGAAAAGGACATCAAGAGGCAGACTTTGGTGGAGCTTGTTGATTATGTTACTTCTGCAAATGGGAAATTCACAGAAACTGTCATGCAAGAAATGGTAAGGATGGTATCCATAAATTTGTTTAGGACACTCACTGCTCAACCTCGTGAGAACAAAGTTTTAGAAGCTTTTGATTTAGAAGAAGAGGAGCCTGTGATGGACCCATCATGGCCTCACTTGCAAATTGTGTATGAATTCCTTCTCAGGTTTGTGGCATCACCTGAGACGGATGCAAAATTGGCGAAGCGGTATGTTGATCACTCTTTTGTTCTGAGGTTGTTAGATCTCTTTGATTCAGAGGATCCAAGAGAGAGGGACTACCTGAAAACTGTTCTGCACCGTATATATGGCAAGTTTATGGTGCACCGCCCATTCATTAGAAAAGCAATCAACAACATTTTCTTTCATTTTATTTTTGAAACTGAGAAGCATAATGGAATCGCAGAGCTGTTAGAAATTTTGGGCAGTATAATCAATGGGTTTGCTTTGCCTCTGAAAGAAGAGCACAAACTCTTTCTTGTTCGAGCATTGATTCCACTTCACAAACCAAAATGCATACCCATGTACCATCAGCAGTTATCTTACTGCATCACACAATTTGTGGAGAAAGACTGCAAACTTGCTGATACTGTTATAAGGGGTTTATTAAAGTATTGGCCGGTCACAAATAGTTCAAAGGAGGTCATGTTTTTAGGTGAGCTGGAGGAGGTCTTAGAAGCAACTCAGCCTCCAGAGTTCCAGCGTTGTATGGTACCTTTGTTTCGCCAGGTTGCTCGTTGCTTGAGCAGTTCACACTTTCAGGTACAGATTTGTTATTTTGATCATTGTTCTTTTAGCTTGTTTCTTCCCACACTTGTTATCTTTGGCAATTTATAAAAGAGTACTGCTAGGGATCAAATTTCTTTCTAATATACAAACTGTCGCTAGGGACTGGATTCATCCAGTATGCCAAGCAATTTTCTTGGATCATACTTCCACCATGTATGCACAGTTAGCATATTACACTGCCGAATGGTGTATTTGCAACTTTCCCTCCTTGTTCTCTGTGTGTTGCAGCCTTTCTAGGACACTTATGCATTCATCAGTAGCAGACTGAAAACAAATTTTGCTAAAATTTAACTTGGCTTCTTGTTGATGTGTTGTGTAATTATTGAAACCCTGAAATTCTATTAACAATGCAGCTTTTAACAGATTGTAGTTTACAAAATTACAAAGAAAGTAGAAGCTATATGTAAGGGAATCAAATCTAAGAAATTTCGACCCAATATTACTCTGAATAGCGAACAATATAATGAAATTATACCAACCGTTTTAAACATAGCCCTTAAATTATGTCCCAATTAGGAATGAATATTTATACGTCCCATATATTTTGAAACCACCTCTAAACTCGAGTTGGTTGCAAGAGGAGTTTAGAATTCCTGCTTGTTTGAAGACGGAAGATGATGGTAGGTGCTCATGCTTTACCTTGAATATATAACTATTACAATATTTTGATGGGTAGGATGCTCTTCTTGTCTGTTAAAGCGACCCTTGGAGAAGGATGAGATTCTCAACCTGTAGAACAAATAAACACAAAAATGGGCTTAAGAAAATGAGCTCATGAACTTCTTTAGTTTTGCAAATTACTGGGTAACAGAATAGGTTGTTAAGTTTTAGCTAGTGAATTAGTCTTTTGATTGCATGGTTCCATAATCAAACAGTTACATTATTCTCTGCTATAGTAATTTTTTGTGACAACACCTGGATTTCTATAATAAAATAACACATCAGATGGTAATAACAGAAATAACCTAATATTGCTCGGCCACTAGTGGGCTATGCGTCACTAAGATCTATTCCTAATAATCCAAATGCAAATTAAGATGTCACAAAGGGAAGCAGATTTGATCTCCAATAGGGGAAATATAACATTTATATTGAAGGTATAAAAACTTATAAAACTCTCTCTTTTTTTTTTTTTTTAATAAGTGTAAAAACTTATAAAACCGATCATATAGCATAGAAATTTATTGGTTATATGGGTTGCAGGGATCAGATTAAATAAAAACTACAGTGGGATACAACTAACAATGGTGGCATCAAGCTGAAAAACTGTTTTGAAGGGCTAGTAATGGCTTCATAATTTTTGAGACTCAAAACTGTTTAAATATGAAACAGTTTCACGTGAAATAAGATGGTTTCCGACAGCCATCCAGCCATTTGAGCTAATTAGGTAGGTTGGTGCTTATTTTTTGAAAAGTCAAGGATGATGATGGTGGTGGTGGTGGTGCACTGGTGCTTATTTCAAAAGTGGGATTGATACAAATTGAAGTCACATTTTAATTGGAAATCTTGTTTGAGCTAAGTATTAGAAGTTGGTGTAAATAGATTACAGTATTAAAATTGGCAATATTTGGAAATCAGAAAAGATTGGTATAATGAATTTTGTCTGCTTCTCTTTAAGTGGTGATCAATGTTATGAGATCACTCAGAGAAGTACTAATTATAAACTTTGGCTGTCCTACCTTATGGTAAAGGAGGCTCAGCATATGTTCTGAAACTTCTTAGATTCTCAAGAAACTTAACTGATCTGAATGTCTATTTTCCATCTTTATAGAGTTCATATTGAAATCAGTCAAAGATATTTTGATTAAATTCTAGACTGGCGTACAGCAGTGAGTCTAGCATATGTTCTGAATCTTCTTATATTACCATAAATCTCAACCGGATTTATACATTTTAATTTTATTAAAACCTGCATTTCTATGAGAGAGAGAGGGAGAGGTTAATTATCTCTATTGCCTATATTTCTTCAAGTGCTTTTCCACTTTTCATTTTTTCATGTTGATGCATGTGTTTGTTTCCATGTTAATTTCATTTGCCTTAGGTGTTTATGAGATGGCAGCTGATTGTTGACTTTGGCTTCAACATTTGTTGATCTAGTATCTCATTCTTTTCCTGGGTACAGGGCGCTTGCTTGATGTCTTCTTATTTGTTTAATCGTTCAATGATGAATATAATTTGGATTTTGGGAGAGATGAGGTTGAGAAATTTAATAAGATGGTTATTATGTGGGAATGTACATGGTAAGGGGGGGTGAAATCTGAAATATAAAGGTGATGGTCCATGCAGTGGATCCATACAATTTGCTAACCGGGACTAATAACTCTAAGCAAGCTAGTTCTGTAGTGTTAGGATTGTTTTCCCCCATATTACAAACACTATCATATTCTCCTCCAAAAAATTGGTCATCTTTGTATGCGTCAACTCTCTGCAATCATAATTAATATCTTTGCCAAATTGCAGAACTTTATTGGTGATTTTTTCCCAAGTTTGTCAATATCATTTTAATACTTTTTTATTTTATTTGTTTATTATTATTATTTTTTTATTTTTATAAATTTATTTTAACACTTGATTTAATATCATACGAATAGACCCTACTTCTAAAAGCTATATGGAATCTGAATCGTTTTCCATTCTAGATATCCTATGGGTATCTGGTAGGACTTGTTGATTATGAACAAGGATATATTCAGTCATAGGATATAAACTTGGTTCCATAAGCTTTTTCTCTAATAAAATTTAGAACAACTTACTTTTTATGCCATCTATTAGAAAACATACTGGCAACAGATTACTGTCTACCCATCTACGACAAGGACCATGTAGTTAAATCTCGACTATGTCTTAGATATTGAGTGATATTTCAGATATCTTCAATACAATTTTGAAAAATAACTTTCTGCTGGTACTATTTGATGTCACCATTTGTAATTTTGGACAAGCTTTTAATTCCTAACGGCAACATGTGTAGTGTATTGTTTTAACTTCCGAAGGCTGAGACAAATAATTTTTTTTTAGTACGACTGAGTGATTATTTGGTACCTAAGTAGTAAATTCACGTACACTAGTCATACTAAGTTAGTAAATTTGTGACTCTTTTCAAATGTACAAAACATACTTCCAGTCTTGTTACATTCATTTCTTTTTGAAACTTTTCAAATTTGCTATTGTTGTTACAAATGATAATCCTACAGGCATCTCCTTGCTAATGGACGGGTATGATGCATTATAGTCAATGGTTAAGATTTAGTATAAAACTATCCACTTCCATATCTTCTTAAATCTTCTCCGATCTACCAACTTTTACAAATTCTTTCATGTTCTAGAATCCTTCCTCTCTACAACACTCCATAGTTCCTTATTATAATTTATATCTAGTTTTATAATATTGAAATGCAAATATACGAGACATGAGAGAAGAAAAATAGTATATGTGTGGTCAAATACCATAAAATATCTGTATTCTTGTGTACTATAATTTACTAACTATGTTTGGTACTTGTAGTTAATTAAGTATTAGTGGTTTAACATTGATTGATCCACAACCCATATATTGCATGCTTGGGCTATTAATGCACTGGTATTGCAATATTTTGATTTTAACTTGATGCAGTCTAATTTCAATGAATTCAAGGTTTTGTTTCAATTTTTCCAAATTTCATTTGATCTCCATTTTATTCTCACAATTTCTATACTTATCGTTGTTCTTGTACCTTTTGTGGTGTCTCAAGTCTACCACGGCTTGCAAGTGCCTTCTCTTGATCTCTAATCCATGTCCTTATCGGTATTTTTATATTTTGGAATCTCAGTATGATAGTTGGTATCATGCTGTTAAAACTGTCAGTACCATACTATAGTCATGTGAAGCAGCTATAGCATGAAAACCTTCAACTCAGATTCAGAGCAATTTGGCAAGCTTGCTAATGTCATTTGAACCCAAGTTAGCTTGCCACTTCTGGACTCGTTTTTGACTGCTCAATCTCCTTTTCACTCTCTCAGTGATCAAACTTTAAACTGGTTTTACTTCGGATTTCAGAATAACACACACAATCATAACCCAAGATAAGAAGACTGATGTTCCCTCCACTGGACATCCAGAGAGAACCACAAGAGCGTATGACATCTCCAGCTCTTTGCACCAACACCAACTCAATCTTGACAAGTTGACCTTACAACACAAATTTTCTTCAAAGTGAGACAATGGTACTCTTGACCAACAAACTTGCTTTGCCTCCAAACTGCAAAGACAGTTGCGAGCAGGGTGCAAGTGAGAGACAATCTCGAACACTGCTCTTCATCAGACCAAAAACCAATGGTGGCTTTTGTAAGTAACCTACCAAAAGCTTTCATCCCAATAACGAAGAGTGAAGATGAAAAAGGAATCATCTCCTTGGCTGAGACCCCGTCAACTTCCTCTAAGCCCACAAAAAATTCGGACCTTAAGTAGAACATGACAAGGTCATTAAGAGAGATATCTGTCTCACCTCCATTATGTTCATTTTGGAAATGGCTATCAATTTCTAGTAGAAGTCACTTCAGCCCCTTAGTTAATGATCTTCACAGCAGGTCACTTAGTTGTATCCTTCGTTGTTCTCATTGCTGTACGCTAAACATTTCAGAAACTTAAAGGTGAACAAGAATACCAACTTGAAAAATGGTTTACTGAGTTTAATTTATTTGTTTCCAAACTTCTCCTCCCAGCACCTTTGATTAATGAGGACCACATTTGGTACCTTTGCTCCGAAACACATGCCGACACTGCTGCTGCACAATTTCATGAAACCAAATATATAGTAGTACTTGTTTGATGGTGCACTTAGAGAATTTTGTTGTCATTTTATTCAATTCCTGTATTTGCAGGTGGCAGAGAGAGCTTTGTTCTTATGGAACAATGATCACATTGAAAACCTAATCAAGCAAAACCGCAAGGTTATACTGCCAATTATCTTCCCTGCCTTGGAGAGAAATGCAAGAAACCACTGGAATCAGGCAGTACAGAGCTTAACATTAAATGTCCGCAAAATCTTCTCCGACATTGATCCTGAGCTCTTTGAGGAGTGCTCGCTGAAGTTTCAGGAAGATGAAGCCCGAGAACAAGATGTTAAGTTGAAACGCGAAGCCACATGGAAACGCTTAGAAGAGATTGCTGCAATGAAAGCTGCAAGTAACGAACCAGTGCTTGTGCCGCGAAAGATGCCTCACACCCTGTCTGGCTAGAGAGATCAGAGACGAAAGAATGGTTATCATGATTTAAAAGGTGTCTATCACCAGGTGGTGTTTGTTCATTCTGGAATTTTTTGTTTATCAGGTCACGCAAGGTGAAAGTACACCAATGTCAGGGTACGAACTCGCCCAATTCGGATTAGAGGGGAGGCCTGTATATATGGAATTGGTTGACAAAGTAAATTGGTTTCATGTTGCTGCTTTGCACACCCCTAGGGAGAATATTTGGTTAGTGAATTTGGCCATTTTGTATTTAGTGTTTAAAAGGGTGACATGGATACAGCTTCATTTTGCAGATTTTGAATTTGGTTTAATTAATGTACTATTGATTTTGAATTATCTATACATATACATATATATATATATACATATATATATATACATGTATAGAGGTGTCATCATGCTATGTTACTTCTGTAATAGGGACTGTTACTTAATTATGATTTTGTTTGTAGATTACTTGATAAAACTGAATTGATTCGAACTGTAAACAATATTGCATGAGCTACTAGTATTTTATTTTAATTATTTACTTATTATAATAATATTTTTTTTATTTTATCTTTTTGGCAGGTCATGAGCTACTTGTCTCACTAGTAGATGAATTTTAAAAGCTCTCTTTTTCTGTTAAGGTACTCTCATTTTATTTTATATTAATATGAACACCTTAGGCAACCTATGGGTTTTTTAAATTATTTTATTTTATTTATTATTATTATTTTTATATATATAAAGGGGTAGCATCAACTTCATCACATTTGTTACGCATCTAATTAGCAAGTTAATTGGATGGCAAGTATTTGTCCCATTCATGACTTGTATTTTAATCTTAATCAAATATCTGAATAGATCTCTAATATAATCTAGGAGGTTATGATGTCAACCTAAACATATGTCCAACAAAAACTTGTTATTAAGGTTCTGTTTTGTTTTGACGTAAAATATTTTTTTATTTTTATTTTTTTTGGTGTTTGTTCAAGGTTTAGGAAAATTGATGGATAAATTATTTTTGTTAAATTTTAATATATATTTTTTTCATAAATATTTTCGACAATTAAACACCAAAAAATAAATAAAAAATAAAAAATTTTTGATGGCCAAGTGTAATTTGATTTTCCCATATTCACATATTACAGAGCTAATAAATTTTGTATGATAATATATCCATCTTTTGATAATATATAATCTTCGATTAATTGTCTTTGACAAGTTAATTATGCAAGCCAAAACAAGTTAATCCAAATTTTAGATCCTTCTCTTCTACAACTTATTCTTAAATAACAGTTTTGTTCTATAATTTATTAAATCAATAAAGCACTTATATTCCATTTACTAATAATACATAGTATGCACGGTAAAAAGGATTAAATGGTTATTCTTAGGCTGAACCAAATAGATCTCTTGTATGTATATTTATTGTGATTCGAAGTTTTTTTTTTTTTTTTTTTTAAGAAACTCGAGTTATTTATCCCTTGCGTTGGCTCAAACTTTTACCTTTCACTTGGAAGGTAGAGGAGGTTAAAAATTATAAGTTCAAAATCAAAAATAATCTCTCCATATAAGAGTAAAATTGCATTTATTTAATTATTTTTAGACCTCACGAATAAAGCCTTGGCGTAAAATATTTTTATTCAAAAAAAATATTTTTTATGTAATTTTTTTTGTATTTTTATTTTTCAAAGGCAAAGGTTTATGTCCAGGTTAAAGTCAAGTCTATCGAAAGTGTAAAATAAATTGTTTAAATAAATTATTTTCGTTAAATTTTAATATATATTTTTTTGATAAATATTTTACGACAATCAAATACAAAAAAATAAAAAAATATTTTTAAAAAAATATTTTACTCACAACTTATATAAATTTTGTTGAATAAAAAATCAAAGCTTTATTCAACCTAAATTTTAATTTCCATGAACAACTAGTTAGGTTATCCATAAAATATGTCCAACTTGTATTTGAGCTCAATCCAAAACAAAACTTACAAATATAGAAATACGTAGAAGATTAATTGGTATATAATATGGTTCATTTCGGAATATTCAACTTACAATATCCTTTACAAATCAAGAATTGAATGCGACGTGAGAGAGAGTGAGGAGGTGGTGCCACTTGAGTGACTATTTTGACCCTGGATCTGAATGGGGTTTGAGCTGGAGACAAGTAATAATGCAGAGAATGATGGGATATCTTCTAGTATTAAAAGCTTATAATTTCAGAACACGACATGGAACATGATTTGATTCATTGGCAATCCTTAAAATTTCCCAAACATTCTATAATTAAATATAATTCTATAATGCATAGTTTGGATTCAACATCCAACTATTCACGTTACTCAATTATTATATTCGAAATTCACATCATTATGTGAATCCTCAAATACAACACCATGTAACATGTGCATGTATAAGTGATCTATATTTACATTCTATCATCATCACATGGCAAAATTGAATTCCCTTCGAGACCAAGAGAGAATTATGTGTCTTGATCTTGCGTCACTAGTGTATCACTATATTTAGTATAAATGCATAAAAAATTTATTATATAAACGATACAATTATATAAGTGATATGAAATTATTACATAAGAAATTATCGGATTCCTCACCTCACAATTAAGTTTCGAACTAAATGGAGTGATTAACTGACACATTAGAGGATTGCGATTCGGATTTCTCACCTTTTAGGTGTAGCAAATTCATCCATCTCGGGATGTACATTAGGACTTTTTAGTCTTTTCATTTAAAAGACTCCAGCATTGCAGAGAAAATGGTTGCAGAGGATAGCAACCCCTTCACGAGATCATCACATGTGACTTGTCACCAATCAATTGGCGTAACGTTGCATGTATGTATGTATGCATGTATAAGTGTGGGCATCACGCACCTCAGCACACGTCAGCCCCTTTCTCTCTCTAGCCTCTCCATCTTTCTCTCTCTCCGCCATTGAAACATTGGATTGAAGTAATCTTTTGTGAAAGGTTGATTATAGAAAACTCAATTTTTCATTGGCTTTACTTCAAAATCAATGGAATTGTAATCTGTAACAAGCCTTGAACTTTATCATCATCAGAAATTCATCACACAACACAGAAATTCTAGAGAGGGAGAGGAGGAGAGCAGGTGTGCAGATGTAGAGAGAGAGAGACAGACAGAAATGCCAAGCGTTGCTGTGAAGCTCTACAGCGTGTTCTTCAAATTCCTTCTCAAACACCGTTTACAGAACCGAATTCAGAGCTCTCAGGATGAGAGTGACCACCCCTTCGGCGTCACGTCGCGGCCCGAGGAGTCCATCGCCGCCGTCAACCCTTCTTTTACCGACGGTGTCGCCACCAAGGACATCCACATCGACCCCTTTACCTCTCTCTCCATCCGAATCTTCCTTCCCGATTCGTGCTTAGTCTCGCTCGATTCAGATTCTAAGTCGCAATCGAAACCTAAGGTTAGGGCTACAACGAGATCTGCTCCGAATGATCCAAATCATACGGAGAATTATAGAAGGAATAGTTATAGTTGTAGTAATGAAGATTTGAATTCGAAGTCGGAGAGTGGTGTTTACAGAGGCTACTCGCCGTCGATTGACAATTGTCGGAAATTGCCGGTGATGTTGCAATTTCACGGCGGGGGGTTTGTGAGTGGGAGCAATGATTCGGTGGCGAACGACTTCTTCTGTCGGCGGATAGCAAAATTGTGTGATGTGATTGTTCTCGCCGTCGGGTATAGGCTTGCGCCGGAGAATCGTTATCCGGCGGCCTTTGAAGATGGGTTTAAGGTGTTGCATTGGCTGGCAAAGCAGGCGAATTTGGCGGAATGTAGCAGGTCATTGGGGAACAAACGGGGCGGTGGAGCGGAATTGAAGAGATCAGATGTTCATAGGCATATTGCAGATGCATTCGGGGCCTCAACGGTGGAGCCTTGGTTGGCTGTTCATGGAGATCCTTCCAGGTAACCTTTTGATCGCATTTTCTGATCTATTTTTCTTACATTTCAAGTTTTCAATGCATCGTGTTTGTAAATTACAGAGAAAGTTGGAGTCTTATTTGATTTGTTGGAGTGTGAACTATGAACAAGTTGATTTGAATTATTGTAAGAGTTGATTACTTGTGTTACTTGTGTAGTTCATATTTCCTGTGCTTATAACTATATGCAAATGGGCACAATGCATGATTTAGTTGGATAAGCTTTTAAATTTTTTTTGCATTACTGCCCAAAAATTTATTTTTTATTTTTACTTATTTATTTTTTCGATAGGAAATTTACTTGCACAGACATGCCTTCACTAGGACTTGACCCTCAACTCCCTCTTTGAGGAGGTTCTTGTTGCACTTGATTTAGAACTTCTGGGACAACCTTTTTTTTTGGACAATGTAGCCATGGTTCAATTATGATAGTTTCTCAACTACACCAATGAAGATTCAATTTCATAACCTACAGAAAATAGTTTTTAGTGTTGGGAAAAGATACAAAAGGCAATACCAAAAATTGGAATAAGAAAGTTCTACTAAAAGAGATGGCATTATATATATATATATATATATTTTCCCTTTTCTCTTTTTCTCAAAACGGGGCTCGAACCCCTCTCCTCCCCTTTGAGGGAGGAGAGTTTATACCGTTGGGCTAATGACACATTGGTAAAGACAATATATCTTCCTCACTTTTTGAATTAGTTTTTTGAGTTTCAAAGTGCTGTACACTTGTTAAATTTTATAGTTGAATAGGAGCACGCATGCTTCTTCCTTTATTTTTTCTTTATAGGTGGCACCATGTTGCATGGCCTGTTATGAAGTCTCACGACAATACATAGTGGAGAATACCCTTTGAAATCTTTATTGACTATCAAGTCTAGTTAGAATTTTTGGTGCACCTCATGCTTTCACCTTGAATTTTTTTCTTTTTCTTTTTCTTTTTTATGTGGGGATAGACTCATAATGTTACTAGATGTCTGATTTCTATTGTTTCTGCCTTAGACTTTTTAACATAAAAAATTGTAATGATGCTGAAGTTTGGGAACTTTCTTAATATTTCCTGTTTAAGATGTATCTTGCCTCTCTGTCAGGATGAGAGGGTTTGGCGTCGAAGATTATTTACCAATTCTCTTGTAGCTTACTTGTTTCGTTCTGTTTAATTCTTCAATATTTAATTTCTTTCCTTTCCCTTTAGTTATTTATTTTATTTTTATTTTTCTTAATTGGTACTCACACCCGCATGCCTCCACCAAGGCTCTAACCCCTGACCTCCCTTTGGAAAGTAGGAGCCTGGTACCGCTTTAGTTGATTTCTCCTCCCAAAGTTCCTCTATAGGTTAAAAACATTAGCACGAACAGTTGGTTCAACAGTGCAGATGCTAGCAAATAACAGCAAAAGGCTTCCTTCCATGTTTGCAGAATAGCCAATGATTTTTTCAGCAATGTCCTGGAATCTCTGAAGTAGTTCTTCCTTTCAGTGTGTCAGACATTGTATGGGTTAGTTTAGAAATCATCTATTTAGTTTACTTTCTACCTCTCCTGGCTTTGGTGGGACGAGTGACAAAGTTCTGCTTGGTTGTGGAGTACTATTAAAACGGTCAGCTCAATGCACGAGGCCTCCTACGGGGTCTGGAGAGGGGTAGTGTATGCAGTATTAGCTCTGCCTGCAGAGAGTCTGTTTCCTGTTTTGAACCTTTGACCTTCAGGTCATAAAGGAGTAACCTTACTATGTTACTGGAACCAAATTGGACTGTCGGTCAAATCAGGAACCATCTGATTTTTATCAAACTAGTGTGAACTGACAAGGAGAATCTTAGGGATTGTGTTGAACTGGTTTACTGGTGTAAAGTTGAACTGGTTGCAACTATTGCTTTCTTTTGTAATATAAAAAAAAAAAAAAATAAAAATAAAACTTTAGTTAGAGCTTGTACAATGCATTGCATGTTGTTTACACAACTACTAATTTAGACCGACCTTTGGTAATTTCATTCCAGGGCTAATATTCATGCAAGTTAATTTTTTTTTTCCTTTCATATATGAATACTCTACTTTAATACCTATCAAAATAACATATCCTTTTAAGAAGTGGTTCAATCTATTACACAATGGTTGTACCAGTGACCCAGGAACTGCCCCCCCTCACTTGGTCAATTTCCAAGCAGTTTTTATACTGATGAACTACAAAGCACTATGTTGTTGTTCTCGAGCAGAAGTGCCGCCTACGATATTCCTAGAATTAAGTATGATAAAAGCATACGGAAAGGAAGAAGAGGGAAGGAGACAATTATTGTCTCAATTAGAATTCATTGAAATGTACCAGAGGGGACATAATACAATTGGTATGTGCAGAAGACTGAGAAAACCAATAACTTTAGGATCCAAATCCTTGGAAGAAAAGCAACTAATGAATAACAGCAAGATAATGACAAAAGAGAAATGAATTGGTAAGGATTTAGACTTGGGCTTCCATTATTCCCTAGGTTTTTCCTTCTGTTTCTTTACTTCTTCTTACCTAAAATAACTTTCTTGAATCCCAAAGTTACAGATCTTTTCATTTGTGTTCAATATGGGCTGTTCAAAAAAAAAAAAAAAAAGGGGGTTGATTGTCATTCCACTTTGGAGCAAGCCAAGATCCAGTGCTATAGAGGCCATTAATTTAAGCTTTCAAAAGAAAGTATGGTACACTAGTTTATCTGCTTTCCACTGAAGATTGAAATCATAATTAATTATATTTTTGTTTCTATAGTTTTATATTTTTTGCTGGGGTAATGGAGAGGGTGGTAATTGTAAGTTGGCAATGATTTATTTTGGGGTGGGCTTTTAGCTCAAAGCCTCAAGCAGAGTAGAAACTAAAGCAGAGTTTTTGTAGGTCGGCAAGGATTAGTTTCAAGGAGGACTCCTATAGGGTCAGTGAGTTGGTTGTGTCGACCTTACTTTGGAATCAAACCTCAATTTATAATTTAAGAAAAATAGAATAAATTTAGGTTATGCTAATAATTGGTCATTAAATCGTCAAATGAAAGGGACTCAGACTGTTGTAGGAAAGAGATGAAGATCTTGTAAATGATTTATTTCTCTTACATCTTATCCATATTTACTGAGTCATGCATGAAAAACTATGTGGAATATCAGTTTGCTAGTGAGGCATTTCGTCAGCAAGATGCCATCCAATAATTATTCCATTATAACTATCATTGGAATGAACAGATAAACTGCCTTATGGTTACGTTAATCTTCCTTCTCTGCAACATTTTTTTTTTTTTTTTTTGATAAGTAAAAGCAGCAGAAATTCTGCAACATTTACTACAATTGCAGTTGCTTTTTTATTTATTTATTTTTTCTTTTTGTCCACGTTTATTCTTTATATGTTGAGGTTGGGTCCTTTTATTTTATTTTAATTTCTTCACTCACTCCATTTGCTTATTTTTTCTTACTCATGCATGTGTGATTATGTCATTCTTCTGTTAACAATGTGGTGGTTTCATGCTTGTCAATGTTGGGCTGAGTTGTATTTTAATAAGGTTGGTGGTGTAGTTGTTATGTATCTTCTTAAAGTAAATCCCAACGAAACAAAGTTAACCAACCCACTCAGACCTGGCCTGTTGCCAGCTTTAGGAACAGGACAGCATTGTTTACTAAATAACAGATGCGCTCAATTATAATGTGCAGAATATAGTAATGTATTTGTGTGTGCTTGTGTGAACTTGCTTTCTTCTCAGCCCAAAGGCTGAAAAAGGAATTTAGAATTTGTGCAGGGCCATCAAACCTCTAACCCAATTTGATACTCTTAAAACATTATAATGTGCAGAATATAGTAATGTATTTGTGTATGCTTGTGTGAACTTGCTTTCTTCTCAGCCCAAAGGCTGAAAAAGGAATTTAGAATTTGTGCAGGGCCATCAAACCTCTAACCCAATTTGATACTCTTAAAACAGATGTCTTCTTCTTGGGGTGAGCTGTGGTGCAAACATTGCAGACTATGTGGCTCGGAAAGCCGTGGAGGCAGCGAAACTTTTAGATCCAGTCAAGGTGGTGGCGCAGGTATTGATGTATCCTTTCTTCACTGGAAGTGTTCCTACACATTCTGAGATAAAATTGGCAAACTCCTACTTCTATGACAAGGCCATGTGCATACTTGCATGGAAACTCTTTTTACCTGAGGAGGAGTTCAGCCTGGACCACTCTGCTGCCAACCCCCTTATCCCGGGTAGAGTGCCACCATTAAAGCTCATGCCCCCTACACTGACAGTGGTAGCAGAGCATGACTGGATGAGGGACCGAGCCATTGCTTACTCAGAGGAGCTCCGGAAGGTAAATGTTGATGCACCTGTTCTCGAATATAAGGATGCAGTTCATGAATTTGCAACTCTTGACATGCTCCTTAGGACCCCCCAAGCTCAGGCCTGTGCAGAGGACATTGCTATCTGGGCTAAGAAGTACATCTCACTTCGGGGCCACGAGTTTTCTTATTAAGTAGGAGAACAAGTCCAGAAACACTTGCTGCAGGACTACCATTTATCGATATCATTGCATGGCTCGGGGATTGAAGTTCGTTGAGTTGGTTGTTTCTGGCTCTAGCTCCTGGGTTATACCACAGTTTTCTTATATATATATATATATATATTCTTTGCGCTGTATCTTTATAAAATAGAGAAATTTGTTCAAGGGTAGGACTTAGTTGAGTATCTCCTGTTCAGAGCAATGCACGCCACATTTGGATTTTGGACGTCCTTGTTAACATTTTGGCGTGTGTATTAAGTTGTACCATTTCTCATGAATATAAAAAGTAATTATGAAATGTTCTTCAGTCATAAATATTTTCTTGTTCTATATCTCGCATTAGTTATAACTTTGCTATATTCATCATGGTCAATAAACAAAACCCAAAAGAAATAGTCTTGGTTGGTTTGTTTGTTTGTTTTTTTTTTTTTTTTTTTTTGGGGGATTGCATTTTCAAACTTTATTTATGACTTATGAGCATTTTTATTATGACTAGTTGATTTTTTTGTTGAAATGGCTTAATAAATGAACTTAAAAATACCATTTGGGTTCAACATTGTTTGTATTAAAATGACTTAATAAAAGAACTTAAAAGTACCTTTTCACTTCGATTTGTTCGTTTTGAAATGATTTAATAAATGAACTTAAAATTATTATTTTAATTCCAGTGGTTTGACATAAAATGACTTAATAATGAACTTAAAAATACTATTTTGTAGGAGTTCAGAGTTCAACTCGTTTGTATTGAAATAGCTTAATAAATGAACTTACAAATATTATTTTAGTTTGATTTTATCCTCAAGGCTCTTTACCCTCAGAGATGAATGGAGAAATTTGTTTCAGTATGAATGGAGAAATTTGTTTCAGGGGCATCGTATTAATTATGATAAGATAACTTTTTATTAACTAACGGTAATCAAGACAACAAGACGGAACAGAAATGCAGTGATGGTGTAATATTGAAAATTCATATATTATTTAATAATTTTTAAAACAATTGATGAAAATAAATTCGGAAACATAAAATATGTCCACTAAGAGTATTTTTGGCAATAAATTGTATTTTACATTTTCGATTTCATATGAAACACACATTGTAATATATTTTTTTGGTGGTGTAATTTATGCCAAAACAAAAACATGTTTCCGTAGCTAACTTGTTGCACAATATTTCATAAAAAAAAAATGTTTGAATTATTTTAAAAAATGGAATTTACATTATACTGATTTTCTATAAAAAAAAATTCTTACAGTTGTTTAATTACAATAATTGTAAAAAGTGAAAAAAAAACAGAGAAGAAAATAGAAAGAAAAAAGTATGAGAAATTTTAAAAGAAAAAAAAAAAAACAATCGGTAAAAGTTTGATTGAAAAAAGGTAATGCAAATATTTTGAATTTTTTTATTTTTTATTTAAAAAAAAAAGAGAGGAGAAGAATAAGAATGAAATGATCGAAAGATTTTAGAGAAACTTTATAAAAAATAAATTTTAACTTATTGGCAGAATGCCAGGAGGCAGGAGCCCTTGCTTAACTTATTGGTAATAAAATGATACTAGTATAAATGAGCTTGGAAATATTATTCCATTTCATTTAACATATTTGTATTGAAATGACTTAATAAATGAACTTAAAAATAATATTTTAGGTCAGACTTGTTTGTTTATAAATAGAATAGCCTAATAAATGAACTTAAAAAAATCATTTCATTTTGACTTTTTTAACATAATCTCAAGCTCTTACCGTCTCATATGTTTCGGTTTGACTTTTTTATATCGAAGTAGCTTAATAAATGAACTTAAAAATACCATTTCAGACTTGTTTGTGTTGACCTAAAGAAATAAATATGATGGTATTTTTCGAAGATCCACCTCAAATTCGGATTAAAGTCCATTCAAGCGTTGGTTCCAACTCCAAAAATGTCATTTTATTTTCTTATTGTACAATGCTGTACAATTCTGGAACTGTAGAACTTTACAGTCCAGTAATTTTCTACTTTCACACGAAATCCTCCCTTTCTCTCTCTTCCCTGTTTTCTACCAGTTTCTCTCTCTACAAAAGGAAAACCAAACTGCACAACAGAAATCATTACCTACTGAAACAGCCACCGGCCATCTCTCTCACACACAGTGGGCAAATATGGGACACTTGTTAACACCGTCACCTCCATCTTTTGCTACTGAAGCCACCTGATCTCAGCTGCAACCACCACTGGCGACATCACGTCCGGCAAGTATCGATGGATCGCCAGCGAGGACGCAGGCCAATGTTACGAGTACTTTCTCTCACTACTCTCTCTCAGGATGCTCTGACGTTTGCTGCTCTCTTGCTGAACAGATTTCAAGTTCACAGAAAACAGCTCCAAGGTCAGTTAGTTAGATCTGCGTTTGCTCAGATTATCATACTACGACCCCTCTTAATTCTCCGTGATTTTGGTTCTATCTTGCTTGTACATTACTCAGCTTGTGCAATTTGGTCTGATTTGAACCTAAAACCCTTGGAAACATCTAGGGTTTCTTCACAAAATTATCACTGGAACTCAAAGTCCACATTGGAATCAGCAGGGCATGATACCATATTCCAAGTTCGATCAATTCCATTTCTAGCTAATAGAGTAACAAATCCTTATAAAACTTGTAAATATTGTGCATGCAAGGACTAGAGGGATACAAGGACTAGAATATGTTTCATATGTGGAGAGACTAACGGATCTTCTATAAGAGTATAAAAATGGTAAACTCAATGCGCCAGATTCCCACCATTGCGGGTCTGGGGAGGCATAAATGTATGCAGCCTTACCTCCGCATGCAGAGAGGCACTTCGGACCCGTGACCTTGGTCACAATGGAGCGACCTTATTGTTGCACCAAGACTCGCCCTCTTCTTCTATAAGAGTATGAATAGGATTATTTCTAAAGCCCATAACTATTCACAATACCTTAAAATGCTGTAATTTCTTGCAGAGAATTGATATTATTTGGAGTATGTTGTGTTGAATATTGTGCTATTGCCATGTTGTTGCTGTCACGGTTCACTTGACCCTAGTGGTTTGGCTTTTGTCAACTAAATACTGATCATGCTTATTACTGATTCTTCTCACTCTCTCTCTCTCTCATTTATATTATATGTGGTGCTTATTCTGTGGTAATGTTTTCTTCTTGAACAAGTTGATTTTAGTGGTAACTGGTTTTATTTTGGGTAGAAATTCATATTGTTGCTAAAAGGATTTCCTTGATTCAAGCTTCATTTCTAATTATTTGCCTGTCATTGAAGGACGTATCTTTCCACGGGCACTGAATGATTTGCAAAGTGACTTGGGAGTTGGAGTAAAAGTTAGTTCATCATCACGCGAGTTCAGAGCGAAATTTAGAGTAGTGGCTCTGGTTATTTTTTCTATATGGATTGTTCTTGCTGCTTTGTATGCTTTGATAAAACCAATTTCAAATGGTTGTTCCATGACATACATGTATCCTACATACATCCGAGTCTCCTCACCTGAAAATGCATCATCGACAAAGTATGGGCTATATTTGTACCATGAAGGATGGAGGAAGATTGATTTTAATGAGCACCTTAAGAAGCTTAGTGGTGTTCCTGTTCTTTTCATTCCTGGCAATGCTGGTAGCTATAAACAGGCAAGTCTCAACTTATTTATTCTCAAACCTTATTGGTATTTATTTTGCAAACTTCAGTGCTGCACACAGTATTTCAGCTTGGCTTTAGTTATAAACATTTGTGTTGAAATACAAGCTAACTGAGAAATCAATCTTAGAAGAGAAGATTAATAGCCTTTTATTTTTGGGAAAATTAGATTTAGGTGACCAAATTTAAACAAAATTGCTTTAGGTGACCACAAAGTCAAGAAAAGATGGATGGTCACCAAATCTAAAACTTAAATGTTACTAAGTGATCATATGATGATTTATTACGCAAATATCCTTCAATAAATTATTTTCTAATTGAACAAATTAATCCTTTCACACAGTCATATAAAAAAAAGTTTTACAAGACTATTTAAATGTTTATATTCAATGTCATACTTTGAAACTGTTAAAAGGTATAAAACTGGCGAATGCCTTCGTAGCCCAGTGGTTGGGTTGCTCCCCGTTGTCCTTGAGAACCCAGTTTTGAGCCTTCGCACGTCTAACTTCTAATCTAATATTCTTGCCTTTAAAAATAAAAAGAAAAAAGAAAAAAGAAAGAAAGGTTATAAAACTGTAATGTTGCAAATGACTTGAATAGGCTAAGTTTACAAGCCTCATATCACAACACTTTCTCTCTTGATAGTGTGAAAGGGTATAATCAATGATTGGGGTTATGATAGAGTTTTATGATGTATTGACAGTGTAAAAGGGTATAATCTCTCTAAAACCCTCAAGAATGGATTTTTTTCGTTTTGTTTTTGTTTTTGTTTTGGGTAATGCATAGCTATTTAAGTCATATAATCAACGGGTATAATTAGATCAGTCATTGCATAAAACTGGACAAACCTATTTAATTCATATAATAAAACTCCATTGATTAAAAGCAAATCTACCCTTTCACACTTTTAGTGGTTCCTTTTTACTGTCTGTTCTATAACTCATTGATTAGGGTATAAAGAGAGTAGGGTAAGCTTCTACAAAGTTTTAGTGTCTGCTTGAACGAAGTTTGTTGGTGTTGGAGATGAAGGGGTTATGATGGTGTTTGGGTGTTTCTCCATTTGAGAGAGAGAAAGAAAGGTGCCTTAGAGGAGGAGGATGGAGATGAGTGAATGTTTGGAGTAGAGAGAGGATTGGGGGAGATATTTGGAGGGTAATTTGGCCCTCAGAAATTATTTCATTTTTTTATTTTTTTAATTTTTTTATGTGAACAACTAAGTTGTTTGACAAAATTATCCTTGAAAAGTCACTTTTTAGTATTCAAGTTTTAAATTTGGTATCTTTTCTTGACTTTTAGGTCACTTTAAAACAATTTTATTTAGATTTGGTCATTAAAATCTATTTTTCCCTTTATTTTTCACAAATGAAAGGAAGTATAGGGTGGGAATATATACCACTCAATAGCACAAAATAAGGAAAACATAAATAAGGAAAGCTGCAATTATGCCCCTAATTAAGAAACAGCTAATCCTTAGTTGTACACACGAAAATTTGCAATCAAAGTATCTCACCGAAGTAATGGAAAGTATTATATATTATTATTGGCACATTGAAGACAACAGGAAGTTCTACATCTATAGAATCCTAGTATTTTTTGAAAATCCAACCAAACTTCTTCTGTATCACAGTTATAGAGTATATTTATGGTGTGGATATTTGAGAATTGAGAGATATGATGTTCTGATTTGGATGCTAAATAATCTTAAATGGCAGAAAAATACATTTTATCCACCATCCAACTCTCCACCTTTAATTTGTGCATATAATCTTATATGTTTCTAAGGAAGAAAGTCTTGTGATAAAAGATTTTTGGTGGAGGGGGAGTTCTTCAAGTAACATGAAATAGTCTCTCATTGATGCATATATTGGTGGCTTCTTTTAGATGTAGAAACCCTGCCAAAGGATTTATTCTACTCAGCTGCTATAAAGAAAGAGATTCTATCTATCTGTTGAACATTGTCTTCATTTATTTATTTATTGTCTAAATGAAATGAGCATTAAAGCAAAGAAAACAGAAAGAAATGAACTCAGGTTTGTTTCCTGGGGTACCTACTTATATCTCTAGGAAATTTACAGAGGCATGGACAGACAGAATGTCCTTTTGAAACCCAAAAATTATGGAAATAAACATGGCTTGTTTTGTGACCCTGTATCTCCACTTTGTCAAATATCTCCTGTTTCTCTCCTTCCATATAAACCAAAATAGGCAAAGTGTGGTTGCTCTCCACATGGTTCTGATTTCCTATTTAGTCAACCCCTTTTGTCTGCCAACAGGCAACAAAATAAGCAAGCCACATGCTGTTTATTTCCCTAGAACAGTGTCTACTAAAATTAAGATAGACCATATAAATCACTGAATGAACACAAATTAAGATAGACTTTTAACTTTACAAAATCCTCACGGAACAATTTTTCCATATGGGTTTACAATATTTCTCCATATAAGTAAGTAAATTTTTTCTTAATTTAGTTTTGTCTACTAAAATTGTATTGTTAACAAAGAACACACAACATGAATATATATATTTTGGCAATCCCTGGTAAAGTTGTCCATAATTAGTAGAATAAATTTGAGTGCCCAAGCCTATCCTGATTGGAAAGTTCAGCATCATTTAATTATTATTAAAAATACTAATTAGGTTGGTAAAGAAGCCGGTAAGGTTGGTTTTTCTGGGATATAGTTGTTGGCTTAGAGTACATTTATTCATATAGGGCAGGTAGGATTCTTGTAATAGTGAATTTTCCTGGGCATCCAAACAGGGTTAAATTAATATCACTCAACCAGTTAATCTATTTTGTTTGATATGTAAGGCAGTAAGGAATTGTGGTTCAATTATCTTTTCACAATCTAAATGTGCTGGATTTGATTCAAAAACGAATAGACATGTTTTGGTGTGGGTTAATTTTTTGTTCCCTAAATTTGATAAATTGTATTTTAAATGAAAACATAAAAAAAAAAATTATGTTACACGTACTGGTAACTTAATGCATATCCTATTGATACAAATTAGATATAGATGGTAATATGCGGTGATATTATAATTATACCTATATAGACACTCTCATAACTATGTAATATACATGGTAATAGTACATAATTGTATGATGCTTGATACATTTTTGTACCGCATTGTGGATCTTGTTAATATTCAAAATGTGTGCCCTTATCATTCTTCTGGTACTTTTGCCCTTATCATTCTTCTTGTACTTTTGCCCTTCTCACAGGTACGATCCTTAGCAGCAGAATCTGATCGGGCATATGGAAGAGGCCCACTTGAAGAGAAATTTTACCTAGAAGCTTCATTAACTTTTGAAGAGGGTGGAGTAAATTTTGACATGGCGAGCCTACCATTACCCAAACAATACAGTTGCATGCTAGACTGGTTTGCTGTGGATCTTGAAGATGAACATTCTGCAATGGATGGTCGGATTGTCGAGGAACAAACAGAATATGTAGTACATGCCATTCACAGGGTATTGCTTTTATCAATTTGTATGAATTGCCTGAAATGAAGTAGCATTTGTAGGTTGGAATATTATGCTATTGTTTGGAATGAAGTGCATTGGATTCTTGTGCTAAGTAACATTTGAATTCACACTGCTGAACATGAGTTTTCAAAATGATTTGGTGTGGAATTTTATGTGCAAAAGGATGCTTTGGGTACTTAAGAATGCAATTTAATCTTTAGATACGGTCAATTATCATATTGATACTTTAATTTTGTCATTCAAAATCATATTAGATGATCAGACAGTCAAAGAACATACAAAATCTATAGTATATGCCATCTACAAGATATCAGTTTTGTCATTTTGATTTGAGTAGGTTTTAATTTTATCTGGATTGTTCTGGATTGGTGGTTGGGTTTTGTCTTTCATTGGATTTTGTTTATTTTATATAAATATCTCAGTGGATCTTATTATTATTATTTTAAAACTTATGTTGAACATTGCGTGTTGTTTGCTATTGACATAGTACTTATTATTATTATTATTTTTTCCTGAAAGTTAAAATAAATGTGCACACAACCACAATATTGCCCATAGCAAGGCTCGAACACTCAGCCTCCCCTTTGTGGAGGAGTCTCGTACCATCTGGAATAATACCCATTGGTTTTAAAACAAATGTAAATTCTCCTATTAAGTTTTTGCAGCTTAGACTTAAATCTACACAATATCTCTTATTGGCACATGACATATCTTGGTTGATTTTTCTCTCATATTCTCCAAAAATAATCTTCTCTATGATTCTTTAACTTTTCTTGAAACTCAAGCATTTTAAAGTTTGCTTGTTTTGTTGCATGGATTTTTTTTTTTTCAAAGTTCACATCTTTTTACTTACATGATTTGTTTCCATGCGCCCATCAATGTAGATTTTAGATCAATATAAAGAGTCTCATGAAGTTCGAGTAAAAGAAGGTGCTGCCATCTACAGGAATCTTCCAAAAAGTGTGATATTGGTTGGTCACTCCATGGGCGGTTTTGTTGCTAGAGCTGCCATTCTCCATCCTCATTTAAGGAAGTCAGCAGTTGAAACTGTTCTTACGCTTTCAACACCACACCAGTGAGCTTTGTGATTTATTCAGTGGTTTCATCGTGGTTTTCAAATATCATGCATTATTATTAGTGAGAATCGCTTTATTTGTTCAGATCACCTCCTGTGGCATTGCAGCCATCACTGGGTCATTATTATTCACATGTAAATCAGGAATGGAGAAAGGGTTATGAGGTACAACCCTCTCGAACTGGACATTATGTGTCTGATCCTCTACTCTCTCCTGTTGTTGTTATCTCCATTTCTGGTGGTACTAATGATTACCAGGTAGGCGTTCCTTTTGCATCTTACTCTGTCATAATCGTAACAGACTCTTTAGGCTGCTTGTTTAATTTAATTAGGCAAAATCTGTTGTAATCATAATAGGTACTTCATGTGTTTAATTTTAACACACTAAAGCTATATTATACACAAAGGAGCTGAAGATTTGATGCATCATTCTATGTTGTACATTTATTATGAGCACTGTACCATTTTGGTCTGAGCTAGTCAAGATCATTTCCAAGAGGAGATCTGGGAATGATACTTAAAACATTCTAAATTTTCGTATTATATATGTGAATAGTGCATTTTAAAAGCAGTTTTGCTTCCATTTGGTTAACTCCAATATTTATATTTTATCTGCTTACAGAATATGTGAAATCCGGATATGGAGTAATTTTTCTGTATAAGAGCTGATGTAGCTTCTTGCACATTACAATAAATTCGTTATTGGCTGGAAGCATCTAAAAGTTGACTATCATATTCATGAAAAAAAAATGGTTGACTGAAGTGCACCAAAATCTCTGTTTTGTCTGAAATTTACACTATCAGAAAGAGAGGTGACTCTTATCCTGTCCTCAGAACTTAAGTGGAATCCTTCTACACTCTATTACATCAGCTAAAATATGTGGCAGAGACCTTCCTGGTTGGTTTGTCAAAATAAATTGATTGAGTTCATGGAACTAAAATAGGAATTAAGTTGATATCAAATGACATCAGTAAGTTTGCCTTTAAATCATAGTGAACTTAAAGATGATCATGAAGGTTCAAGAGATCCAACAGGACTAAAATTTCTTCGATACCATGTGAAAATGCAGTAGTTGAAGAAAGTACGTCGCGAGAGGTTGAAGAGGAAGACAGACAATGGAGAAAATTAATTTCTTTCATACAAAAGATGAAAACGTAAAGAACAAAAATAAAAATCTTATGATCAGAGATTCAGAATACCCTTTAATGCTATCAACATTTTCACGTGTCAATTGACTTGGTGGGTGTGTGTCGAATCCTTTGCTTTATGTTCATCCATATCAATTCAAAGTTCTTTTAGTATCATCCTGGAAATTTGAAGTTTACATAAACACAATTCATTTTGGAATTTGGCACATTTGAACATTTCTTGTCATACTATTTTTTGTTGCATGCTTTCTGTGTAACTTGAATATGTGGGAGCTGTCAACTCATTTGTTTTCTGATCTTAGGTACGTTCAAAGTTAGAATCCCTTGATGGTATTGTGCCTCCTACCCATGGATTTATGATCAGTAGTACAAGCATGAAGAATGTGTGGTTGTCAATGGAGCATCAAGTTATTTTGTGGTGTAATCAACTAGTTGTTCAAGTGAGTAAAATTTCTCCTCAGCTTATGTCAAATGCTACTATAGATGGTTCTAAAATTCTGTATCCTTATTTCAGGTGTCACACACTCTTCTTAATTTAGTAGATTCTGAAACAGGTCAACCATTTTCTGATCCACGAAAAAGACTTGCAATATTCACAAAAATGCTTCATAGCAGATTGCCTCAGAGTTTTAACTGGTTAAGGCAATCACAATCATCTCAGCAGTCATCACATCGTCCTATTCTGGATAGCCCTATTCTGGATAGCAGAGACGTAGCTGGTATCATCAATGTCCACTCTTTATTTATTAACAAAACTATAATACACCCACACCCTACTCCATGTCCGTCAAATCTATTTTCTAATTTCAAACGCAACTTGCTTAAGAAGTGATTGTAATGGTCTCTTGGCATTTAGATCTAAAAACTTTGAATTTTTTTGAATCATCCTAGGATCCTTCATCATTTAAAGATCTTAGGATGCAGTCATCATAGGATCTGAGTGGTCACCACTGACTTTCAAGTTTCAAGATCTTATAGAAATCACACCCTTAAATGTCATCCTTCTTGGGGCCTAGAGGGTATTATTTATGTAATGTAATTGGTTGGACTTAGAGGATAATGGTTTTTTTTTTTTTTTTTTTTGATAAAGTAAAGGACAATACTTCCCTCCGGCCCTGTTAGGAGGAGGTTTCTTAAGATAGTGATGTGCAATTAAACACATGTCCTAAATTAAAAAAATGGATTAGACCCCTTTTTAACTGGATAACCTGGGTAGAACTTAAGTTACACACCAGAACCCTAGTTTTCATTCTTACCGTCCATTTGCCCTCTCTCTCCCTCTATGGTACCAGATTTGGCTAGAAACAGACGTTCTAATAGAACTTTCAATCAATTTGTTTGACTCTCAAGAAAGAGGATCGTGAATTGTGGAATGGAGAGACTTACTGTAAGAGAAGATAACAAAGGGCTGCATTTGAAGGAGACATGGATGATGGCAAAACGAACCAAGGTTGGTGGTGGTATTGATGCAGGGATGATAGAGAATTGTTGATGAAGCCTCTGTTTCGGGCAAAGATACCCAGATTTGATGCTACAAAAGTATGTTTAATATAAACTCCAATATAGAAAGAAGAAGAGAGGGGGAAGCGGAGGGAGGGAGGGAGGGAGGGAGAGAGAGAGAGAGAGAGAGAGAGGCGGTGGTGGTGGCAGCGGAGAGTAGGGAGTAACTGTGATTAGGGTTTTTGCATATAGAATGTATATGAGTTTATTTATTTATTTGTTTTCATTGGCAAAAAAATTCACGTACACCCACTTTGCTCCTTTGGAGACTCAACCCTCACCATCCACTTTGGAAGGTAGAGGAGATACCATTGGGCCACAAGGCCCTTCGTGATATGAGTTGGGTTAACCCATTAAAAAAGGGTTTGATTATTATTATTATTTATTTTAATATTACTTTACTTTGGGATGGAAGTTAAATTTTGTTAGGCGAGGTCAACCATCAGGAGGTAGTTCCTTCTGACAGGGCAGGAGGCAAGTATTATTTGCAACTGTAGGTAAATATCGCTACAAAATGCCAAGAGAGGTGCAATCCATGTATGGTCGAGTATGAAATTGCCGGACACCTCTGTCTGGCAATTTCCTATAAACTCCAAAGAAGTCAAGGTAGACTTCTCACTTTCTTTCATTTGCCAAATACCTAACATAACACTTGCTTTTCAGCTTATGAATCAGTGTCTCACTCTCTGCTCCTTCAAAAGATTGTGACTTGTTTCCCTCAAACACACCATGTTGAATAGAAAGGGTCTTTTTAAAAAATTTCTTTTTCCTCGAAGTGATTCCATCTATTTAACTATGTTTAAGGTGACACTGTTCTAGGGAACATCCAAGTCACTCCAAACTGTCCAATGATAAAAGAGCAAGCATCCTCAGTTTGTCTACAATGAATTAGGAGATTAATTCTCCTCGCTCTATAGACAAGCAAAACTAGTTTGGTCAAAGAGTCCTCTCCTTGCTTAGATAATGATTGTGAGAATCTTTCTTTAAACTGTTAACTACATTAAATGAGATGCACCATATTGGAAGTAACTTCAGTTGTCCTTTTGCCTTTTCAAGCAAAGGGACTATAGAGGTATAGAAAATACTTCAAAATGTGATTTTACCTCTAGTCTACTAGACTTTAAAGCACCCTATTCATCCTCGTTGTCTCCTCTCAGGTTAACTACTCCATTGGAAGCTTCTAACAAGTCCACTATTTCCTTAGCCTTCCAAGAGGCTGCTGCTTTCTTATATCCACCATTCCAAGCTGCACCATTGGTATCTTGTAAAATGTAATATGCTATTGATGCATCTTTGTCTACTGTAATCCTACATAATTTTGGATGGGATTCTCCCAATGTAATATTTCCGTGCCATTTATCAGATCAGAAACTTGCTCTGTGTCCCCCAGAGTAATCAAATTTACAAAACAATTGTAACGACCCGAACTCAGGGTCCGAATCACTAACCGGGTCCTTATTCGAACTCGAGGACACACTAGGGGTAAAATGTTCATTTTACAATATGTGAGGGTAACCTGGCTTCAAACTAGTCAAATAAAGTTGAAAACAATCATTCTAGTCGTTCCGTGACATTTGAAGAGGTTCTACGGTCGTTGGATGTGATTCCCCCTTACCCGGTTCAAGAGAAATCCCGACACTGTTTCATTAAAACAACCATAACTCTCAACATGAATGGAATTTGAGGATGAGGTTAGTCTCATTGGAAAGCTAACTAAAAATCCTTGAAGATGGACGCAAGAATGACCTTATTTGGGTTTGGAATGAAGAAGTTATGACCAAACGAAGTCAGGCGGTCAAAGCTGATACACTGTCAAGGCAAAAATGTACATTGGAGGGCTGGAACCGGTTCCCAAATCTTGGTACCGGTTCCACATGGGCAGAATGTCACAATGCGAACCAAAAACACCTTTGAACCGGTTCCACAAGGGCTGAACCGGTTCCAGAAGTCCAGAACCCTGAAAATAGCCTAGAAAAGCCTAAAACTAAGCATTTGTGCATATGGGTACTCCCTTGGTCCCTTGATGACTTTATTTAAAGTCTAAACCTATTCCAATGCATGCATTCGAAGTGTGTAAAACATAATTAAATTCCCGTGCCTTCCATTAAACTAAATACGTGTCCAATACATCGTTTAAAAATCGAATTATACAAATCCCTTTTTTATACAGTTTCTAAAGGATTAAATACAGAAAATGAGGCTTCCATGGCCGAAATTACATAACTTTAATATAAATAAAATGAAATCCTAACTACATCAATATCCATGAATGCATATAATTCACCAGCTAATCTCCAAATTTCCTAAAAAATGTTGATAAGAATAGGGTGAGTTCAACAGCTCAGTAGAAGAAGCTTAAATTACATTCCTAATAATCCCGTAAACCACAACCAAAGAAGAGGAGAATAAGAAGAAGGGGTCATGGGAATGTCAACCATAACTTCAAACATTAAATTCAATAAATTCATAAATCATTTCAACACATAAGATGCAATTGCCCTCCTCTTTCCTTCCAACCCAAATCTTATCAAATCTTTCACAACCATCATCTCAGTTCTCAACCCAACTTACACCACAACATCAATTCCCTCCTCATCCTTCATTCCCATCGTCATGACTTCAATTTCACAAGCCCAATCTCCCCATGAAAAATACATGAAATTAATGCTATTAATCATCAAAATACTACTCATGAATTTAAATCAACATCATTATACATGATATACAAAACATAAGACAATCATACAAATTATATTTCCACATTTCAACATAGAAATTAGCATATTATGCACAATTAGCATAAAAACACATTAGCCACATTTCAAACCACATAAATCAACCGTATATCATGCTTGAACACCACAACCCAAGTCTCTACAAAACTAAGCATGCTACACAACAACAAGATTTCAAGTAAGAATATACATAGAAGCTCACTAAAACCATAGGACTCATAATTTAAACTTTCCCTACCTCAAGATAGCAAACCAAACAAGGCCTTAGCAAGCCCCAAATTTCGAAACCCTTCTAAGCCCTAGCAATATGGGTGCCAAATGGAAGACCTCTCCAAGCTCTCCAACTTTCCCTTTCTTGGTCACCTCCAAAATCTCACTCTAACCCTTCAAATCAAGGTTTGCAACAATGGAGACGTGTATATAGATGTATAGATATATAGAGAGAGGAGGAAGAAAACTAAAGAGAGAGAGGGATTTTCGTCCAAATGAAGAGGAAGAGAAATTAGTTGATTTTTTTTGTAATTCATTCCATAGTTCTAAATGTGCCACTTGTCAAGCTTTGAGTGGAATCAACTTTTGGTCATTTTACCATCTTGTCCCTCACTTCAACAATTCCTTTCATTTGAATCCCATAAAATATCTTTCTAATATATAGTTACACATATATGTATATGCATGTGAAATGACTATAATGCCACTCACTTAAAATGAGAAAACTGGGAGAAGTTCCCTAGTTTGGAAATCGCCCTGACTTCCCAAAAATTCTAAAAATGATTCCGTAACTTCTAATTGACTTTAAGTTGATAAAAAATAAATTTCCAAGATCCTCGGCTCGATGAATGACCAAAGCGCCCCTCGGGGCTCACGTGGCATGCAAAACGAGGTAAAGATTAAAATAATCCAGAAAAATCAAATAAATTCCCGAAAATAGAAAATAGGGAAAATCGATAACATTACAACAATCCCATCCTTTTATTATGCCTTACCACAAATTGAGTCCATGAGAACTGTCCAGTTCAATTTTGTGGTCCAACCACCCCTAGTAACCCCACGCCTTACCACAAATTGACTGTCCAGTTTTGTGGTTTGGATACTCAGAACATTTAATCAATTTATTGCTGAAGACCCGATGAAAATTTTTGACCCATTTTCCGCTTGAGGATTGTGGACCCTATTTAGTACTCTCTTGTAGCCCGGTATATTAGGATGCTTAGCATTTGGAGTGGGATCAGAGCGAGGCACTGGAAATTGCAGAATAGAGTGTGAGAGTGAAAGCTAGGGTTTGGGGACTGAAACTTGTAATTTCTTGATTTTTGCATAGTGAAGTCTTTTGCTGGATCTTCACCATGGACGTAGACACAACTTGTGTTGAACCACGCTAAATCTTTGTGTTCTTTGTGTGGCATGTTTACTTTTTGTTGTGTTTCGTGATTTGTTCTTGGTCTGATGAGTTTGTCGTAACAGAAATACATATGCTGGTCAGTTTGTAATAAAATTAGAGGTCAAAATATATTTCTTAAATGGCCTAAAATTATTTGGCTCACACAAGTCTTACGGAACTTTTTTTAGGCTCACACAAATCTTACGGAACTTTAATAAATTATGCATGCTTTTATTGAGTATGGTATATGTATGTATGTATGTATATATGTTGCCTAACTTTGACATATGATGTTTGCAGGATCTCAATTGCAATCTTTGTTTGGTTGTCCCAGTAATGTTCATTGGAGCGATGATGGCCTTGGAATGGACCTATTCATTGAGGAAGCCACTGTCACTATTTTAGCAATGGATGGGAGGAGGCGGTGGTTGGATATTCATAAACTGGTAGCTTTACTGATGTTCCCTGTCCACGGTTTAGGATAACAGCATCTTATTTTGTTCATTTTTAATCTTATTCTTACGGTTAGATGCTTGGATGTGATGATTTTCTTTCTGTCCTCTTTTCACGATTCATGCTTTCGGGCGTGGTTTTAAACTGCAGTGTTTGCTTAAACTTGGTCAGTCTGGGAGATTAATTTTCTGAATTGTCTTAGACTAAATTATACACATAGATTCACAATAAATGTAACTGTTGTTAATGGATTATATATTCCTGAAATTTCATTTAAGTTCAAGGATTTAGAAACCATGCTTCTGTGGCTTCCATTGCAGCAGAATTAATAAAGATCCAAGGGTTGTTATTTTGTGCTGTAGTTGGGAAACAGTCTTTTTGTTGTTGGTTGGTTTCTTGTGCATCGGTGCTTTTTACCTTAATACTTTTACTTCTGTCTTTTATACCAAGCTATAATAGTAAAACTCATAGTTTCATTGAATTATTTAGGGGTCAAATGGAAAAAGCCACTTTGTATTTGTCACAAATCTTGCCCCATGTTCTGGTGTTAGACTTCATCTTTGGCCTGAAAGGGAAATATCCGCTTCAGACTTGCCTGTTAGTAGAAGGATTGTGGAACTGACATCAAAGATGGTGCATATTCCGTCCGGACCAGCTCCGAAACAGGTGATTAGATGCTGTGGTCAGGACATTGTTTTTACTTGCATTCTTGTACATTTTGATTTTATCACTTTATGCATTGTTCTCTTCTCCATTTGATCCTGACTCCTTATAAGAAGTGTTCATAAAGTGGAGGATGATATTGTTGCCACCTGAGCCTGTTTGGAGTAGCAGATTTTATAGATGATTTGATCAACAAACTCTGAATATGTTGTTTGTGTTGCAGATTGAACCAGGTCATCAGACTGAACAAGCGCCTTCTGCTGTATTTTGGTTGAGTCCTGAGGAAATGCGTGGTTTCAGATTCTTGACCATCTCAGTTGCCCCTAATCTGGTATTGTTTCCCTTTTTTTCTTCTTCTCTATATATGTCTATCTGTATATGGATTGGTCTCACGAGTTCACCAATGTAAATTTCTTTTTAGCATAGTTCAGAATTAAGCAATGCATTTGCCAATCAATGTGTTGGTAACATGTGCTATCAATTTAATATTTATAATGGAAATGCCTTGCAGAGGAAGAAGAAATGGAGAAACTTATGCCTTTTGAATGCCTTTTTTTTCTTTCAGAAAGAACAAATTTGCATCGATGTTACTCTTGCTTGCCTTTTCTTTTCTTTCTTTCTTCTTTTTTTTTAAAAAAAAAAATTTCTTTTACTCCTTTATATTTGTGTCTGAATTTATTGTTTGCTGCACCTTTCTAACCTTGAATATATAATGAAAATCATTATTTTTGGCTACCTTCCTATTTCCATGATTGTTGAAGGCAATGGATTATTGGCTTTAACTTATAAAGATAAGATATGATGGCCTCCAACACTCTGGAATATTCATGAGTTTCCGAAGTTTGATTGTGTCGACATTTTTTTATTTTTATGGCTCCACACAATGTAAAGGCAATCTTTCATATAGAAAGGTTATGTGCGGTTGGAGTTGCCTAGAGAACACTGATGTTCTTGAATGTTTCAACATGATGAAGGCTATAAACCTTGGTTGTTGGGGGATATTTGAATCTTTTGAAAAGGGAACTTTGACTAGAACCTCAATTTCATTATTCACTTATTTATTTATCATTGGTTATCTTTTACTTTTTATTTTTTTTGTGGGGTATGGGTAATATTAATATTGATAAAAACTCTTCCGTTTCTTAATCATTTGGAAATTACATTTGGTTAAATCTCAGGTATGTTTTGAGAACATCTTCCAACGTATTGAGATCCATAGTGTTGGAACTCTTTCAGTTTCTATTGGTTTTATCAGACTTTGTAACCAATGTAATTATATATCAAGACTCTGACTGCAACTTATGATCTTGATATGGTAGCAAAGAAAGGAAATTTTTTAAGATTTCAGTGCCCCAGTGGTATGCATTGATATTATTTGTCATACTAACAGTATTTATGGTCTATCTTGTTACATATAAGATATGGTGATGTTCACTCCATAATGTGGTAATATATGATATTCTAAGTTCCTTGTGCTGATGTCTGTTTGTAACGGTGTCAATTTAATAAAAGAAAGATTCATAACAAAATTTGCCTGAAGTATTTTTTTGAAAAGCAATTTGCCTGAAGTATTTGCATGCATTTCCTTGAGAAGAATTTCTTATGGAAATATTGGTTGGTCAGTCGCATCATTTTTCAATAGAAGACTGCAACCCTTGATCTATTTGACTGAACCCAGCGTGTGCCATGGCCATGAGGGTTTATATTTAAGTGTATGTGATATTCCATTTTCTGTTCTGTCTTCTTTTTACGTTATATTTGTTAGTCTGTTCTTATGCTATTTGTTATAGATTACAGAGTGTTCTTCCGTTCTTAAGCTAAATTTTATTACAAAATAATAAAAAAAGTATTATCAAGCTTACAATATACGACTTGCAATTATAGTTTACAAATTCAAGGAAAAATAACTATATTTTAAATCTTGATGGAATATTGATTCACCAGCAATCTCTTAAGATCTAAGATTAAATAATAAAATATTAGGTAAGATTTGAGCTAAATGAATCTAAAATTGAAAAATGAAAATGAAAATGAAAAATATTTGAAAATTACGTGAAAATTTCCAAGTTATTAGTGTTGGGTGGTAGAACTAAAACTACAGCGTGCTTTTGAGGGTTTGGAACCTAAAATTGTGAAAATGAAGCTGGAAAATTTGGTCAAATTTCGGGTTATATCCTTTATGGTCTTACACTAACGGGTTGGTGTCCTAACGGACTGTTTCAGCTTGTATTGGTCATTATCGCCATGAATTTCAAACAGATTGATATAATGGGTCGTATTAATTTAAACTTGGGGTTGGTTACTATTTTATTCTACTTTTCCTCTTCTTATTTGAATGTGATAAATAAGCTTATTACCTTGAACTCCTTTAAATTAAATTTGTACATATAGTCATTTTCTGGTGCCCAGACCGTTTCAGGCAGACCTCAACTGGCAGCTTCCATGGCAATTGGGCAGTTCCTTAATCCAGAAGAAGGGAAGAAAGAGATCTCTCCTCTATTGCTGTTTCTCTCTACTTATTCTCAAAAGGTTAGTAGTTTCATAAAGCCGCTGTTTTACTTTCTGGAATTCGTAAAGTTAAGAAGTTTGGGATGCTATCTGTATTAATTAGTTTAAACAGTCAACATGGCTGACTTTTACTGTTGCGCGACTCGAACATTATACAGGACATGGTATTGAAGGAGGATCATCCTCTTGCTTTCAATCTTTCTTTCACTATTAGCTTGGGCCTTTTCCCTGTTAAATTGTCTCTGGAAAATACAGGCTGTGGAAAAATAAGGTCTGAGATTCCAGTCGAAGTAGCTGATGACCCAGAAAATAGCCGTAAGGATTTCTTCATTCAATTTTTATTGTCAACTATCAACTTATATCTCAGTCTTTCCTTCTATAGTCAACCTAGTATCTCATATTTATTACACTGTATATGTCCTTCATATGGTAATGTGTGATCTTGCGTGTTTGGAGAATAGTTGATGATTATGAGATTGCATACTAGGTTCTCGCCTGGAGGTGCTATAAATTTCCAGTACCTTGGCAATTGGCGATCCAACCTGCATATTGTTTACTTCATTCTAGAAATTTAGTCAAGCTTACCAGAACTTTCTTTTATTTATATCATATCCCTTTTTTTTTTTTCTTTTTTTCTCCCCCCTCCCTGAATAGTGAAGTTTTGGATTATTTAATGAGAACATAAAAGATTTTGAGTTTTATGGGATAAAGGCAAAGATGACGATGATGATAATTTATCATCATCGTCATATTGATAATAGATTCTGGAGTTTCTAGGTAAAAAGGAAGATGTTACGACATAACTATAGTCGGTCCATAAAATTTCGTCTCTTATCTGCGTTTTCTTCTCTGTTTTAGGTTAGCTTTCATTTGTTACCTTCTATTTTTTGTATGTTATTTATTTATTTTGTAAATAATTTGAGATCCATATTAATCTTTAATGAAGTCCTTGTTGAAATTAACTTCATAATTAAATTCTCACTTTTCTTTTTGATTTATAATTTCGAACGAAATTCTTGGTAATGGAGAATGGGGATGGTGCTAAAGATGCATTCTAAGTAGATCTCCTTTACCACAGTTGGCAGATTGTTTCTAAAGTTTATGATGGTGTTGTTCCCACCATTTGTCAGGTTTTTAAAGTGGAGTTTGATTAGTGATTGGTAAGTTTCCATTAGATCAGAACATTCACTATTACAGGGTAGTAATATGGCAAGTGTTGTATGCCTTCCTTTCAGTGTTTGCTCATCTTGTCATAAACTTTAGGGTTAATATTTGGTAGCTTGACCAAAGGTGCTTATTTGAACTGATTTAATTTAAGTTTCTTTGAATTTGTTCATTATCATAATTCTTCTTCTGATTTTTTTTCCCTTTCTATTTTATGCTAATCTACCTCCTTCCAATGTAGGATTTTGCAAGCTGCACTGTTTTCCACCTGTTGCACTTGTTTGGGATACTACCTCCGGATTTCATATATTCCCCAATTTGTATTCTAAGACAATTGTGGTGGATTCTTCACCAGCCCTTTGGAGTTCAATTCAAGGATCTGAGAGGACCACTGTTTTATTGCTGGTAGTCACCAAACCTTTAAATAAGTTTCTTGTCAATGTTGGCATGAGATCAGCAGTGACTATTTGCAACTTTTAGAGTTAATATATCCAACATATAGTGATTAAAGGCTTTGATTTTGCATTCTTCCACAGGTTGACCCACGTTGTTCATATAGAACCAGGATTGCAGTCCCGGCCACCATCGCTGCAAGCAGATTTTTGCTTTCATACTCTTCTCAGGTGACAAAATTCAACAGCCCTGATTTGATTGCTGCATCTGGCTTTCCAGTTTTACATTTTCCTACTCTGATCGTTATGTAGAACACTGTGGATAGCATCACACTTTTGAATTTATAGATTATAATTTAAGATCTTGATGCATGCATTTCCTTTTTGTCGTATTATTTCCCATGTTTTTTTTTTTTTTTTTCTTGAATTAATAAATGTTTGAATAATTCTTGGGAAACTCAATAACATATTTAGTAAAAATTCGTGCTTTGGTACGACTCGTATAAGAGTCCTCATGAAAAGTTGATGCCCTTTAATATTAGCATACTTATGTTTAAGAAGTATACTTTTACTGTTTATGCAAGAAGATGAAATGGCCACCATTAGCATATTGTGTTTGTGCAAAAGACAAGAAGGAAGAATGAGGCCTGGTTTGGTTCTGTTCTCCTAAAATAGTTTTCTAATACAAAACTTATATTTATCAAGAAAACTTTTCATCCTCAACCAAAATTCTTATAGAGCTCAAGTGGCGCCATTCGAAGCCATTCAAACTTGATTTTGTTTCCAGACGCACCCTCAATTGCCCTCCATAATTGTGAGGCCTCCCGCAGTCCACAAGTGAAAGAGAAGATGCACCTGATATTTTCTGAATGTAAATCACAGTAATGAATAGCTACAAACTTCTTAATCCCAGTTTATTTAAAATGCGTGGATGCATGAGCTTCCTTTTTGTACATGTACATCCATGCATCAAGTTATTCATGATAATGTAGATAAAACCAGGTTTCTGTATTTTTATTTACTCATTCTTTCATATAGTTATTACTTTTTACTATGTCTGGTTTTATGGTTTAACTGAGATTTTATTATTATTATTATTATTATTATTATTTTATTTTATTTTATTATTTTTTTTCCCGACTTAGTTGTTATTATGCATAGTAATGATTATTTGTTTTTAGCTTATTCAATGCGGCAGTATCTTATGTACCATCTTGGATATGATTATGTGATTTTTAGCTTATACGAGACTGCTTTCACACAGATTGTCGGTTTCTCCATTGCTGTTATCTTTTTTGCTTTGATGCGGCAAGCACGTGCGCGAGAGTTTGACCAGCCCATACCCTCAATGCTGTCAGCTGTGGAATCAAATATTAGAGTGCCATTGCCATTTCTATTACTTTCCATTGTACCCATTATGATTGCCTTATTCCTTTCCTTTCTAATGTCTCAGCCGTTCCCTCCATTTGTAAGCTTTATCACCTTGTCAACCATTTGCTATTTATTTGCAAATGGGTCTGTAATCATTCTGATTCTGATTTCCCATTTTTTCTTCTACGTGGCTTCCAGCATTCATATTTTCATCAAGAAAAGGTTTGTGTTTTTTCCTCTACAAGTCATTTAGTTACTTTAATGATCTAATCTGTAAGAATTTCCATTTTTTTTTTTTAATGAGACTAGATTATATCTTTTGGCAAAAGTTTTTTTTTAAAAAAAGAATTATGAATCACTCTCAAACCTGTTCTCTGAAATCCTTCCAGGTATTCAATATTGACAAATAGTTTCTTACTGACTTTGGTGATTGAAATAAATTGTATTGCTTTTCTTGGAGAAAGATAATAAATATCATTTTAGGCGCATACATGAGATCTTAAACTATCATATTCTGAATATTACATCTTTTATGGTCTCAATTGGGATTTAAAATTATACTTCACATAGTGTCTGGCACCAACGCTGTTGGGGCCTTATCTAGGGTTCTATTGTGAGTGTAGACAGTAGATCTGCTGGAAGGCTTTCGGATACAATATGCAAACAGCTACACCTAAATTTGTGATGTTTAGTATTTCCGAAGATGTTTTGAAAGGGTATTGAGCCTTCAAATCAACTGGAGAATGGTGATAGTCTGATAGATGGTGAGTGGTTTGGCTGTAATTTGGATTGTGTGTGTGGGCTAGGTGACCTAGGCTGTAAACTGGATATCTGGTGTGGATTGTGGAAAGGTGGAAATAGAATTGATGCAGGTCAGGTATAGAAAACTTTGAATATTGCAGTGTAAAATGGTAACGAGATGTTGTTAGTCAGTAATTCTTTCGCCATATGAATGATTCTAGCAACTCAGTGATACAGAACAGGAAAAAAAAAAAAAAAAGGGTCACAACAATCTGACTTACAGACATCCTTCTAACCACAATTCTTTGCCATTGTTTAGTATTTCAATAACAATGGTTAATGTCATTGAAGTGCCCCTTCTTATCAGTTGAAAGACAATCAGTAATGAAAGTTCGTAGGACCAAAACCGAAGCTTTTATAGTGAGTTGCGCAAGGTCTGTGATCTAGATGTAGAGGGGGGTGAATAGGTTTTGTCGGTTGGATTAACGAATTTTAAGAGATTTTTGAATTTAAACTGACTCAAAAGAAATTTAAATTCAAATCTTAACAAAAAATTAAAATCTACTTAATCCATCATCCAAGGATCCAATAAACAATAATAGTGGTAAACCAATGGACACAAAAAAAAAAAAAAAAAGGAGAGTAGAAAACCCAACTTAGAAAAATCACAGGATGTAGTTGACGCAAACTGAATCCAGTATTATGTTGAACTCTTCAGATGCAATGCTCAATAATATATGTCAACACAGTGAAAACACACAAAGCATGGGTATAGAGTGAATAAGATTGTCAGTGTTTTTATAGAAATAGAAACTGCAATTCCGCATGGATTGATTGATCAAAGAGTTGGTCTATTGAACGACACAACTCTAGTCACCCTCGATCAATAGCTCGACCAATGAAAGTCTACTTTAGGTTATTATTATTATTATTATTATTATTTTAACTAGAAAATTTAGAGTAGGAAGTTCTCAAAAACACTTTTATGCATATCAAAAATTATTTTGATATTCAAATTAAATCATGAAATCTTAGAAACCCTAATTCGGTGAGTACATCAAAGTGTTGAATTACCTTTTTACCCTTGGTGTAAAAGATTACACATTTACTCGTGTCTCGCTTCAAGTTCCTTCTCCAACCATGAGTAAGCAGTAACAATTAACCACTGACTTTTGAAAATTTCTAATCTAAGCTAGAAATTAAAACGAAGTTACAGACTACAGTTTTGTTTTATTTAATATGCCGACCTAAGGCTTATTGACCCTAACAGGTAATATTTGCAGGTGGAAAATATGTGAAGGAAACTTTTGTGTTGCATGTGTCCGCTGGTTGCTCAATCTTTCCACTAGTTTATTATCATTTAAGGTAAGTTCTTAGTTGTGATGTCATTAGTAGCTTAAGACAAAAGAGTTCAATTTTCTTCTAGGATAAGTTATTGACATTACTTGTACGTTGCTGTTAGAAAATTGATGAATAAATTCCCCACCCCCACCACACCAAAAGATATTATTTTATAATTTAATTAATTAATTAATTTATTATTATTATTTTCTTAACTCCTTTGAACCCCAGCTCCCACCCCTATTTTGTTCTCTTTCTTATTTTCCCTCTTATGAGGGAGCAAAGTTTGACATTTTGAATTGTTCTCTTTGAACCGATGCATTCATGGAACAGGTGTTATGGGTCTTAAGGATCCATCCATCACTTGTTAAAGCACTGGCTGCAATTATTTTGGTGTGCTTTGTTCATCCAGCTTTGGGTCTGTTCATATTGGCCTTGTCTCATGCTTTGTGCTGTCACAATGCACTGTCCAGGTATTAGTCCAAAGCAATAGTACTTTCACAGTATTGTCACAAAGTGGATGCATGATTCATTGTATTAAATCCATGAAAGATTATACTTTATTGACAGTTTAAATGCGTGTTTTGGCTTTGTGAAACAAATTTTTATTATTTTTTCTCTTTGTAACGCTCAATATTTTAATTATGAGTAAGTCTAATGAGATGCTTGTAAATGATAGAAACAAACAGACCTGTTCCCTGCCCAGCATTTCTAATAGATGACAAAATCAAGTCAACATTAAACTCTTTTTTCTCAAAACAGATCAATGTTCTCTGCTCCCTCTCTCGATGTATTTGTACTATTGAGAGTTGTGTAAGTTTGTAATTTCATGTCACATGTGACTGTTGATGCTGGAGTGCTTCCTTGTTTTTGTAACTGTTAACAACCATCTACTCCAAAGGCTTAAGCTGTTAGAGGGTTGTAACTTAAGTATATAAATCCTTCAACATGGCCCCCTCACGTGTGACCTTCTTTTGGTCCAACATGTGTTTTTCAATTTTTAATTAGGGTGACGGTGAGGTTTGAACTCGAAACCTTTGGCTCTGATATCATGTTAACAACCATCTACTCCAAAAGCTTAAGCTTTTAGAGAGGGTGTAACTTAAATATATAAATTCTTAACAGTAACAGTTCTTTAATGGCTTCTTTTTTCAGCGTTGCCCTAACTAAGGAGTTATCTGATTCCAAAAGAGAAAGTGATAATGGGTCTGACCAAAGTGGATACAGATTTGTTGGTGGATTGAACCCGCACTCCTCTATGCATGAGACTTGTTCTAGCAGTCCAGACTCAGCAAAAAGCTTCCGTGAGACTCAAGTAGGGATCTTCCATCATTGGCATGGTTTACTGATGTTACATTTTCTGGCAGCAGTCATGTTTGTTCCCTCGCTTGTGGCTTGGTTTCAGGTAAAGACGATGTATCCATGCTGTCTGATATGAGAGTACTGCATTCTCATTTTGGGATGCGTCTACATAAAGAAAATTGATCATGTTACTATCTAAAGCCCATAAGTCTGGATGGAATGTTAAATCTAGAACAACACCCGCGAAATAACCTTGGATCTTTGACCAGACAAATCAATCGTCTTTATAAGTTGCGCATATATGTATATCTAAGTTACCATCAAAACAAGTATAGAAAATTATAGAAAAGTTGACGCATTGCATCATAATGGTAAAATGCTGGTATGACATCTACAAGGGGTAAGGTTTTCTTTTAATGCATTCTGGTTTCTTGCTGGCACTCATATAGAACCTTCTTCATGCGTGCAGAGAAAAGTTACGAGTCAAAGTTTTCCATCGGTCTTGGATTCAATTCTTTGTATTGGTGTCATCCTCCATGGTATCTGTGATTCAGAACCCGAATTTAGTTTCTTGTTTCCTTTCCCGGGCAACCTTGGGTGGGAAGCAAGACTGAGCTTCACCTACCTGCTTGCTGGATATTATTCCTATCTATCAGGCTTGGCCTTGGTTCCTTACAGAGTATTTTATGCCATGGCTACCACTGGAGTAATTTCCTTCACTTTCAGGATCATACAGAAAAGGAATAGGGAGAAAGGAGATGCAAATTTACGAAGTCAAAAACATTCTCATATACACTAAAAGCTTCTCCTAAACACAGTACATTCTACACTTAGTTGTATTTGGATCATTGGGTCCTGTTGTAAAAGTCTGTAATTTACTGATAACAGCGAGGTATATAATGAATATTTCTTCAGAAAAGGTGTATATCAAACGCTTAGACCATCACAAATCATTACAAATGCTAAATTTGACTACAGTACTTGGCTTTCTCTACTATTATGATAACAGATGCCGGAGTTGAAGAAGACATCAGTCGAAGCATCATGTGTGTGTCATTTTTCCCGTGAGTTTGGAAGTTTCTGTCTGTACCTTCCTAGCGTCCTATATTGATCTGAGTTTTGTGTAAATGACAATTTTTTTGAGCCGTTGCAAGTATCTAATTTGGTGATTCCTAGATACCTTAAATTTCTGTGTCATCCTTACATATTTTTTTTTATCTTTGTGAGCAGTTTCAAATCGTTGTCAACCTCAGTTTTATCTTTGTCAGTTTGGAAAATCTAGTAGCATATATTTTCAGTTACATATTTGTTATTTGGCATAGATGCATTATAGCATGAGAATCCTGGATCCTCTCTAAATACACATCCGATTCAGTCTGCTACTTTATTAAATCGATGATTCAACAATGAAAATACATTTGAGTTCTCGATTTAATAGTGTTGCAGTTCGATGTAATATGTTGCACAGATGTTACATCTTCGAAATAAATATTGTATACATAGATTGTTGTTGAATGACTGCTTATACTGAGTTTATTCAATGAAGAAACAGCCGTTTGAACATCTGGCATGTTATGCTTGTAATTGAAATAGACGTGTGTGTGTGTGTGTTTGGAGAGAGAGATCATTTCCTTATTTTTTTATTTTTTAATAATTAGTTGACAAAGTTGCAAATATAATCTCAAATTCCTTGAATGAGCCTTAAATAAATTATAGAGAATATTCTCGACTTGCAGGCATGAAAGCTATGTGCATGAACCAATGACAGGACTTGTATTTATACTAAAGAAATCATCATTTGTATCCTTAAAGAGTATTATGTATAAGAAAATTATATATGAGTTCCACAAAGGTCAGGTCATACTCAATCTTTCTTTCTTTCTTTCTTTATTTTTATTATTTTAAAATGACCATTTACAATGATTTGGTCTATGTGTGTGTGTTTTTTTTTTTTTTTTTGGGGAGGGGTGCTTTGTGTGTTTAAAGCTTGTGTATAATTTATTATTTTGAGCAAGGCAAAAGTGGAGTGTAGGGATCACCAATTCTAATTTTCCCCCAAGGGCACTTTGTCCTTGAATGGTCCAGTATCTGGTCCTCATCTTCTACAGAACACATTATGTTGTCCCTATATTGTTTTTAACACTTTTCTAAAGCGGTCCAGAGTTGTCTATTTTTCTGCTCTTTGATTAGTACTTTGTGTTTTTCATATCAAATGAAACGGTTGGTCCACAATCTGCCAAAAACCAATAATCTATAACTGTATATTTTCGTTCAAATAACCCTAAGTCTCATGATAATTAATCAATTATTTAGTCTGCTCCCAATTTGTAATTTAAAAGAAGAGAAACTCTATCTTATTGATTAGCGTATAAAAATCCTTGTTGGTCACTATTTATTTATTAAATTCGTCAAAAAATTTATTCAAATCGTAATATTACTTGCCAAAAAATCTACGTAAATTGTAACATTACTCTTAGTTTGAACGGGTCTTCTCACGCTAGTTAATTAAAACCTTTTTGTGATATTTTAGGTCTTTAGTGAAAATGTGACCAAAATGAAAATGATTTTTTTTTTTTCCTCATATGACAAACAAAAATTAATTTTTCTAGTGTGGAGGCATATCAAATGTACATTCCTCCCAAGTGTCCTTGTTGTGTTGCCTCTTGGATTTACTGTTTGGCATTCCAGCTTTCATCAAGTGAATATATCCATGGTGGGTATTTTCAAGCACTTCCATATCATGGCAATGGCATCTCTCTTCCTCTATATAGTGCGCGCGCGCGCACACACACACACATATCTCAAAGAGAGAAGAGTTGCCTCCTACGACAAAACTGGCATCGAAGGGACCAAGGAATCCCAACAACACTAATATTTCTTTCACTTATTACATAAAATAAAAATAAAAAATTAAATAAAGAAAACTAATAAGAGAGAGGACTTTGGCTGCAAAGTATAGAGTTTTTCAACAAATAAAGACTATCAATCCGCACGTTTAATGCTTCCCTTCCGGTAGAGACCTTCTTAGAAGAAGACATTGTCTTAATTAACAAAGTTTGGTGGTGCCCATTTTTTATTATTACATATCCTCCATGCTTTCTGAGCCATAAACTCAAATGTACCCTTTTTGATTCAATCATTTATACCCCCCTTAAACAAGCACATATCTTTATTTATGTTCGGATGATCTGTCAGCATCAATCTCTGCTTTAATTATGTTGCTTTTTAGTACACCCCCTTAACATTAATCTTTGCATATTGAACCCTTTAGGAGGGGTTAATTTCTCTGTGTTTCGAATTTCGGAACATTGTGTGATCAAATGGGAAGACAACCATGTTGTGACAAAGTTGGATTGAAGAGAGGTCCATGGAGCATTGAAGAAGATCACAAGCTCACGGACTTTATCGTCAACAACGGCATCCATTGCTGGCGAATGGTTCCCAAGCTTGCAGGTTTATCTCCACACACACACACACACACACACACATTTGGTTTGTTTTAATTCAATGTGTGAACTTAAAATGATGGCATTGTTACATGGTGTGATCATGAAGGTTTGCTAAGATGTGGGAAGAGTTGCAGATTGAGATGGATAAATTATCTGAGGCCAGATGTTAAAAGAGGGGCACTTTCAGAAATGGAGGAGAATCAGATTATACAACTTCATGCTTGTTTTGGTAACAGGTCTTTGTTTAGCCAAAATTCTATGCCTTTATATATAGTTTTTTTTTTTAGGCCATTTTCCTATAGAAAATTGTTGAATTTTAACTACTTCAATAGGGTCATGGCCTAACTCAAGAACTTCGGAAAAAACACATACACGCACATTAAAGAGCCTGTTTACTAACAGGAAGTAATTTTTACTTCTGCTTTCCTCAAACTCGGGTCTAAAACAAAAAGTAAAATCAGATTTAGTAAAACAAAGAAACTGCGTTTAATAAAAATTGTGTTTTTGAATTTTTTTTTTTAATTTTATTGTAGGTGGTCGAATATTTCCTCACATTTTAGGGAATTAATTAAATTTTTTTTATTTTTTATTATTGAATTTTAATTCAAGAACTTTGCAGCAATGTCTTAGGATTGCAAGTTCTCTAAAGTTCTTAATTTGGAATAAAAGAAAAACACATACTAAGGTCCGTTTACTAGGAATTCATTCATGCTTCTGCTTTTCTCAAAAGCAAAATCATGATTTTAATTTTTTAATATCCACTGTTTTTAGAAATTTGAAAGTGCGTTTGAATAAAAATCGTGTTTTCTGCATTTTTTTTTTTTTTTTTTTGTGTGTAGGTGGTCGAAGATTGCCTCACATTTTCCGGGACGTACTGACAATGAAATAAAGAACCACTGGAACACCAAGATTAAGAAGAGGCTAAAGATCCTAGGGTTAGACCCTGTGACCCACAAACCCATTGAGGAGACTGAAACTAATCCAGAATTGGATTCATCAATAGAACAAGAGGAAAGTTTGGAGGTTACATCAATGAAGGATTGTCGTCATGCTCAGTGTGAGGTTCAAGTAACAATTGATGAGAAACAAAACGAAGTCAACAAGATCATGGTGACCTCCAATGAATCAACTGATCATCATGATGACCTTCTACATAATTATGAGATGTTGTGTCCAAGTTTGGATGTGGGATTAGGGGTAAACCAAGAAACAAACACCTCCAATTCATATTATAGTCCTACATTTTCTTTGGAAAATTCTATCAACCCATCATCAATGGGTACTCAAGATTCTATACAGCAATGGGTTGATAGTGTGGATTCAATGCTCTCATGGGATGGTTTCAATCAACTTGAAGACGAACTTTTCTTTTTGGATAATAGCCACTGAAACCTATCTGCTGATTCAGTTGTTTTGTTTTGGCACAGGTTTTTTTTTTTTTCAATTCTCTTTCACCATGTTCAATTTGCTATATCAATCTTCAAAAGAGTATCATATTATGATGACTAGTGTCATTAATCTCTACTTGGTTGTGGTTTTTATTTATTTATTTTTTAAGCAAATGATCACAGTCACGATGTTACTTTTAAGTTCTAACAATTTTCGAACACTAAGGGCTTGCTTGACAACCACGGTTGCTTTGTGTTTTGCTTTGACCCGAAGCAGAAACAATGTTTCTACTTTTGAGTGTGCTCAAAACTATTTAGAAGTTTATTTGATAACGTAAATTTGTTAGAAGATTTTTAGAAGCAAAAACATGAAAACATGTTTGGTAAAAAGTATTGCAAGTTTGAAAATTTGAATGATTAGTTTAAATTTTTTTTTTTTTTTTTTTTTTTTTTTTAACAGTGTTTTGCTAAAGGAAACAAAAACATTATTTTGATGCTTTCGATTTTGGTCTCAATTTTAGAAGTGTTTCGGTATTATTCATATGACAGCAAATATTACCAATCATGTTTCGTGTTTTTACTTCGCTACAATACAGTAACAAAAGCAAAAAATACAAAACAAAAACACTAGCCAAACAGGCCTTAACTTCCCATTCAAAAAAGAGAAATCCTATCATTTGAACTAATAATACTCGTTGATATCTCTAGTTGATCATTGTGACGGCTTATTGTTTCATTGTTATTCAGATTAAATTTGTGTTATTCTTATGTCTCTAGTTGTGAAGACTTATTGTTTTGCTTGTTAGCGATTAACCATGTTGAATATCAATACTTCCCATATACGCGCAAACATAAACTTCAATATTTAATTCGTATTTGATATTTTTCAAATATTTCATAATCTGATATATATGAAAATTAAAACATATAAACAAACACATTTTCTCATATTATTCTGTATAACTTAAACTCGACATCCCATGAAGATTTCATCGTTATCATCGTCCGAAGCCTCCAAGAAGTAATTGATTTTGTGTCAAAAGATCCAATGTAGGGACACCAATCGATGTGAATGTCAGCAAGAATCATTATTAGTCATTAAAGTACTTGAATTGTTGGATGTATTTCTAAAATATTTTATATCCATATAAATACTGACCTATATAGTAGTGGCCTCTGTATTACATCAACTTTCTGACAATTGTTCGTGTCAAGCACTAACATTTAACTAGACAAATCAATTTTCAGCTCTTGTATTTTGTTTATTATTTCTTTTTGACAGCTCTTATTTACTTTAGTTGCATGAACTGAATAAATATTTTACAGTGCATTGACTTGGGTGGTTAACATCCAATATGACACCCCACGACCTCTTAATTAAAATGACACCATATAATATACAAATCATACCAGAAGATCAAATCTGACATTGTCACAATATTTGAATTTAAGTTAAAAAAAAAAAATGATTACAGATATATATATATTGTTTTAGATGAGAATGATAAATGAAATAGACTTAGCACATGCTTAACATAATCAAGTTGTTAGACTTAAAACTTCAATGATTTTTATTTTTTATTTTTTATTTTAAGTTTAGAGGAAATATCATTATCATAGACTCGGGTGGTTAACATCCAATGACACCCCACGACCTCTTAATTAAAATGACACCATATAATATACAAATCATACCAAAAGATCAAATTTGACATTGTCACAATATTTGATTTTAAGTTAAAAAAAAAAAAAGACGATTACACAGATATATATATATATTATTTTAGATGAGAACGATAAATGAAGTAGACTTAGTACATGTTTGACACAATCAAGAATAATTATAAATTAATGATATCTCCTCTGCATCTTAAAAACTAATTGTTGAAGTTTTAAGTCTAGCAAATTTATTTGTCCTAGCCCCCAGAACAGAACAAACCTAATATTTGTACATTTATTTGTCAAAAATAGACACAGCATCTTAGACAGCCACAACAGAAAAGAAGATTATGATCAATAAAATAATAAAATTGCAAATGGTTGCAAAATTTTATATCTGTCCAATTGAACTTAGTGGGTGAGTACTCCCTTATGCTAATAAAATATCTTATGCTCCATCAAAATCAAGTTGGTGGCTAGCGATCATCATTCTGATTGCTAAGTACATGCATATAGTAATGAGAAAGATAATGACAGAACGGAAATAATCTCTCAATAATCGATGAATAAGAAATTTATTTACACGATGTTAGATAGATTGCTGCATTTTATTACTCCATTATAATAATTATTTTTTATATTTAAATCATATTTAACGGTGATTATATTTGGTGTGAAAAAAATTTCTTACTCACCAATGTGTAAGGCATCATTTTTCGGAGTACTTCCAATTTAATAAGAAAGAATAGTATTAGTGTATTATGATAATTGTTTAATACCACAGATCAGTGATCTCTTAAAAAGTTTTTATTGTTTTGTCGTTCGGTGGGCTAAAATTAGTGCACAGAAGAGATGGAAAAGCCCAACGGTTATAACTATGTAGATGAGCCCAATAACCTTGTTGGGCTAAAATCAGTACACAGTAGATATAGCAAAGCCCAACTGTTAAAAATGTATAGATGAGCCCAATAATGTTATTGGTCTTAAATCAGTACACAGAAGATATAGTAAAGCCCAATGGTTGTATCTGTGTAGATGAGTCCAATAAGAATGTTGGGCTACTATCAGTACTCAGTAGCAGTAACATATTTGAACTAATAAGATTGGATTGGACTCAAAATTGACGTCACATAAAAATTCTCTGTATTCTGTTCTTGTTTTATAGTATTAATTCTCGATGTTAATTATTGTAAGTTTGGACTTAGATCATCAAGTTGCTTCTCTAAGTGGTTCATAAAAATTAAATTGGAGTTCACTATGTTATTAATGTTAGGACAAAAGCTGCGAATCAATAGCATAAACACACTTCACATAAAGAATATAAAGAACATGGTTCATTCGCTATGCAAAAAATATGAGATTACAAGGTTCGGCTCCAAAACCCCCTCTTTCGGCTTTCAATGTTATCCTTTACAACACTTATAAGAAAGTAATTCACAACTGGCAAAAGAAAATAGGTTAAAAAATTTAGGTCATTTTCATATCGCAATCATGGTTTCGCAGAATCGGTCACGATCACGATCGTGGTAACGGACTCGGATAAAATCAGTGTAAACTGACCGATACGCTCGCATCGGCCTTGAAAAAGGGTCACGTATTGAACGATATGGTAAATCATGATCGCAATACAATCTTAGTCGAAACAAAATTCAGATCACAATTTCATAGTTAAGATCTTTTATATATGAGTTGCACACGACAATATCAGGATTAAAAAAATAAAAAAGGATTGTTCAAGGTGGCTCTTTGTTGCAACTTCCATTTATTTTCTCTAATTGTTGAATTTGTTGGTGTTGCTGTATCAGAAAATTAGTCTTGATGATTCTGTTTGGTACTCTAATGCTTTCATGAACATTTTTCCATTTTTCTTCGCTCATACAAAAGTACATGTTTCATTAGGTTAGTCTCTTCAACTAAATGATGTATTAATGTACCCAATTCACGAGGACAACAAAAAATTATGATTGAGAATTCCTGAAAAAAGAAAAAAAATAAATAAATAAAAACCACACACACACACCCCAATTCAAGGCCTTGGGCAAGGAGATTTTCTCACACTAGCTGGTAGTGGGGCTGAGCACTATACTATATGATACACATTAGGCCATAACCATTTGATCAGCAATGTGATGTTGCAACAACTGGTTGTTCAGTCTGTTACATCCCCAACCTCTGGTCCTCTACAATTTTAATAAACACTCTCCCTCTTTCACACACACACACACACACAAACACAAATATTTGCTACAACAATAGAGCTCTTAAGAGTCCATTAACTATCCTTTCATATACTCCTCTTCATTATCAGTCTTATCTTAATTTCATATAAATAAGGTTGGCTACATGAATTCTCTATTTTTAATTTTTTCGATTACATGTTATCCTACCAATTATATTTAATTTTCTAAAGTCATTTTTAATAATTTATTTTTATTGACACACTTTGTTTCTTACTTTTTTATTACAACTAATATTACTTGTTTAACGGGTGTCTCTAAATATATAAATGTGTCCAACTTCTCATTTAAAAAACACCATGCACAACACTTATTTCAATTTTAAACACATTCAAGACCAAGAACCAGCCTAGCATTTAGGTAAGTAAAGCAGATTCTTGAGTCTCTCTATCAAGCTCTTATAGTCTTATTCAAATTAATCAACCACAAACCAAGCTGACAGAATAATCATGATATCATCTTCTTCTTGAAATTTCAAAAATTGAACGTTGGGGTGAGATAATAGTTTTCAACAAGTGGGGACCACATGAACCAAGTTGAAAAAGACTAAAGCTTGCCTTTACATGGTTAGCAGACCCCACCACCTAATAAAGAATTACACTACACTTCTCCCTTGTCCTCCATGTGGCCTACTTTTCCATAACATAGAGCCCAAAGCTCTTCATTTGAATTTCAAATTTATAAGTGCTGTTAGAGAACACTGAACAGAGACCATATAGACTAAAGAAAAAAAAAAATACTCAAAGTTGGATCATTGAGCTTCTCATACTGCAAAGACATGGGAGAATCAACTTGTCTCATGCCTACGTTCTCTTATGCTCCTGGCATTTCCAATGAATCCAAACAGGTCAGTTTAATAAACTTCAAAGTCTCTTGCTTGAACATTCCTCATTTTGTCATATTTTTATCATATGATTGATATTTGTTAATTCTGTGTTCAATTTGAGGGTGTGACTGGTAAAATGTGATTTGGGGTTTGAGTATTCTACCATGAAAATGTTGGATAAACTTTGTGTGTCTTACAGGGGAACCCAATGCATGCTCTTGGAGAGAGTGTTTCTTTTGGGAGATTTGTGACAGAGTCCTTGGCTTGGGAAAAATGGTCAACCTTCTCACACAACCGCTACGTCGAGGAGGCAGAGAGATACGCGCAGCCAGGCTCAGTCGCGCAGAAGAAGGCTTTCTTCGAAGCTCACTACAAGAGAATTGCTGCACAAAAGGCAGCAGCCTTGCTTGAGCAAGCAAATGCTGCTAATAACAACGCACCGGAACAAGAAGAGCGTGAAGACACGGTTTGTGATCATGTCACTGTCCCCCAAGATTCTCATCCGATGATTTTGGATTCCCAAGAAATTATTGGTGAACAGCTTCAGGTCGAGGCCCCAAATGTTGAGGCCAATTTCATTGCCAATGCTAATGGGCATAATTCAAGTGTTACACTAGATGAACTAGGACAAGAGCGGGAAGTTCAAATGGAGAATTTCACCAACAATGAATCTTCATCAAACCAGCTTGAGAATGCTGAGAATGACAATTTGGTTTCTGAATTGGAGCTTAGTGGACCACGCCAAATGGAGAAACCTTTGTTAGAGGTAACACTTAAAACAGTTTGATGCCCATGAATTTTTAATTTTGAGCTATGATACTAACATAGTCACACCAACTAATTATTTCATTGAATGATGATGATGATGCAGTTGAATTTGAACTCTGACCAGGATGTTGCACCAGTGATGAGCAAGAAGAAATCAGCACTTTCTTCCCTAAAGTCATCAGTTTATCGTAGAGCATCTAAAATTCCGAGTTCACCTGCCAAACACATGGCTTCCATTCATCCCCAAAAGGAAAACAATGTCACTCCAATCACAGTGGACCCTAAAATTGCCTCTACGGATAAGAAGAGATCAACTCGAAAATCGCTTCATTCGTTGATTAATTTGACCCCTGCCAGAGAATCCGATAAAGCTAGTAGTACCCCGGGGATACGGAAGATTGAAAGTTCAAGGGTTGCTTCTAGTTCTTTAAAGGCACCTAACGATTGTGTGACTCCTCTAAGAACTCCAACCATGGTATCTTTTTCCTCTGCCCTAATATCATTTCCTATGTTCCTCCAATTGGGGATTTTGTCATGAATGCTAATATTAGTTTCTTTTCTCACCTGCAGGCACATGTGAATGGGGCAACAAAGCACAATCCTTTAACAACACCTAGTTCAGCAAGTAAGAGGTAACTGACTGGTTTATAAGAATCTGCAGAAAAGAAGTCTCACATCTATAAAATTCTCTCTCACTTATATTCAATACTTTGTCACATCTATACTTGCAGGGCTAGAACACAACTTGATCCCTCATTCTCACAAAGTAAAACAACTGAACCAAAATGGCACATCCTATCTGCAGTGTAAGTAGCTTTGTAACTTTCTATTGTCACAAAGTGTTCAGTGTGTTCACTTGGTAGAGCACTAGAGCAACTATTATGTATATAGACATATCTATGTCTTAGTTCACCACATAGCTCAATTGGTAAGAAATAAGACCTAGGAGGCCTACCAAGCTCCAAAAATCGAATAAATTATAATTAGCATATAAACATTTTCCTGAACTCTTCTTGTATAATTTGTGGATAACAATGGGATTTTGATGTGCAAATTAATCCAAGTCTTTCCTACTGAAAAACAAGATTTGAATTAAACATCCCCTAATTTATTCGAGCAGCCACTCACTAAGAAAGAGTTGCTATATGATTGCTTGCTTTTGTCTGCCAGTAGTTCCAAGTCCATAAGTGCCTGCCGAAACAAATTACAGTCACCGGCATTATCTTCTCCTTTCAAGTTGAGGACAGAGGAAAGAGCTGCGAGAAGAAAACAGGCAAGTCTTGGCTTGTTTATTCTTATTTTTCTCTTTCAGTTAATTATATCTACTAGTCTTTGGTATTATATGGTTTTCCCCTCTAATATTTTCAGAAGCTTGAAGAGAAATTCAATGCTAAGGAGGCACAAAAAGTGCAGATTCAAACAAAATTCAAGGTTATAGTTAAAATTGCCAATCCAGAGCATTAAACTCTCCATTTTTTTGCTGTACAAAACTATGCCAGTGAATAACTAGGCTCCTATAACACAATATTGTATTGTTTGCGCAGGAGAAAGCAGAATCAGAAATTAGAAAATTGCGTCAAACCTTCTGCTTCAAAGCGCGGCCACTGCCTGACTTTTACAAGGACAAGGAAACGCCAAAGAATCAGATAAAGAAGGTAGCTCTATCTATCATGTAACCTCAAATTCATATCCTAAACTTATGCTATCCTTTGCAGTAGTCAGAATTACCATTGATGATTTTCTTTATGTTATCTCCTTCTTTCTTTCTTAGACTCCATTGACACGGCCTCAGTCACCCAAGCTAGGAAGAAAGCCAAGTTCCAGCACAATGCAAAGCTCTCTAGCATGCCGGACGCCTATGTCCAATACCAGTGGCTTCAAGAATGCCTTGAAAAAGAATAGTCGAATCCCAACTCTTTCGCTCAATTCACAGCCTAAAATGATTATTTATGAGAGCACATCCCCAGATATTCAGCATTGATCAGTAAAAACAAGTGTTACTGCATTTCAGGCTACGACTGAAAATTGTAGGTGCTGAAAGCTAAAGGCTACGATGACGGGTAAATAACATGGAGGCTGAACTCCATAGTAGCATTCCCTTGTGAAAATCAGAGTGAATTTATTGTCCTTGATCAGTTTTCTTTCAGCATTAGTTTGTTACTATTCAGAAGATTTGGAAATATTGTAAAATTTATTTGCTTTGTAACTTAACTGAGCAGCAATTTATGTAAGCTGAGCATTCCAGCCTCTAAACTGAACTACGACAGCCAACCAAACAATGTGATAATCATGCAACTGACAACGCTATAATGAACATATGCATTTCCAAATAATATGATTATCATACATAAAACCAAAGGAAAAAAAATTAAATAAATAAAAAATCAGCCTCTTCCTGACCAAACAACTGATAAATAAACTCAGCATTCCGAGCGTTCCAATTTATAGACATTGCAGTCTGCGGGGCAAGTGAATAAAACTTTGAAACCAGGCATGTCCCTGTACCAACTCAACTCTCCACCTTATACCTCTCTGCAACACTTCCCTATAAGGCTATATTAAAAGCTTCAAAGTCCCAAAACCCCAGGCCACCCTCATTCTCATTTTCGCACAAGTGATTCCATTTTAGCCAAGTGCCCTAGAAGCCACATAAGATCCCTTCCACTTCCCTTCACCAATATAGAATAAGATTCCGAAACAACAGAATCCATCACCACTCTAATCCACCTTCATTAAACCCCAAATTTTGCAGCACTTTTTTTTTTTTTTTTTTTGTAACACTCACTCCACCATGTCACTAGTCTTTGCCATGTCTATATTTTATGGCCACGCACCCCTTTTTTTTTTTTTTTTTTTGCCTTCTAATTTTCAAAAAATAGACAATTTTTTTTTTTTTTTGGTTCCCTTAAATGGTACTCACACCCCTTGCCATCTCCGAAGAAAAGAACTATATGAGCCATGCAAGTGGAGATAAAATTCATGTAAAGTTTTTGACTTTTCAACTGTGGGGCCCACTTGAGTTATTAGGGTCATTACAGACCCATTTAATCCCAAATTGCTTTCTCTCTCGGGTAGCTAAATCTCTCTCTCGCTGCTTCTGTTTTTTTTTTCTTTTCTTTTTCTTTTTCAACTTCAATCCTTGATTTCTCTCTCAATTGTTAGCGGATTTAGGTGCCGTTTGAGGCAAAACGACGAGCACGATGAGCTCTACGTGCTAGTACCAGAAATTCCAGCTTTTGGTCCTCTTTGGGAGCTCGAATTTAAGGACCCAATTTCAAGGGTTTGGTTCAATTTAGAGGTAGGGGCTCTTAATCCATGTTTTCTTGCTCTATTGTGAATTATATCTCTTTTGTTGTGACAAGCATGTTAAATTTGGAAGTTAATTGTTTCAATGATTATATAAATGATGTTTAGGAAAATTCATGATTATGAATATGAGTAGAAAAGCATGCTTAGAGGTTGTCTTGTTGTGTTTAATGTTTTGATAATTCATTTGGAGATGTTGAACATGATGTATGCTTAATTTTGTGGTGTAAAATTTTGTGTTGTCTTGTCGTGTTTAATGTGTTGATAATTCATTTAGAGATGTTAAATATGATGTATGCTTAATTATGTGGTGTAAAATTCTAAATGCCATAGTATTGAAAGTATGGGATATATATACATGTACATACCATTGGGTTTGCATGAAATGGGAGAAATTGTTCTTGAAATAAATATAAGGAATTTCAGGGAAGTGTTTTTGATGAAATGGTTTTATGCGAAACCCGGTCGCTGCGGGGTTACCAATGGGCCGGAGGTTAATATAGCCTAGAAAGGATTAGGGAGTCGCCCTAGCGTGGTTGAGCTAGCTGGGTCCCATAAATACGCCGCGGGGTTACCAAGGGTCAGGGACACTAGCCAATCCTCCTCTCGTGTCGCGGCGGGGCTACCAAAGGGCGAGCTGTATTAACGGTTTGGAAATGATGTTTGGATTATGAAAATGGGGAGCGACATCGGCATGCATTTGCATTCCATGGCATTACATTGTTTGCACTTGAGTTTGGTTGAAATGTTGTATTATCCCGACACTGTATGATCCCCATTCCTATTGATCTATTCTTTGTATGGATTCACAAGGACACAAGATGCGTGTCTTAAGTGTCACCTACTGAGCATATAGCTCACCCTGCATACTTATTATTTTTTTCAAGAAACGGGAAAGAAGTGGCGGATGGCTTTCCACCACAGGCCTAATCTGAATTAGAAGACTTCTTTTGCTATTTTTGTATTAAGTCCCATATTTTTGTAAAATCTTAGTTTGTTATATTTGGTATAGAGATTCGTGAACTCTTGTTATTGTAACTATATTTTGGGACTATAATTATGATAATTTGGATTAAACGGTATGTAGATGTTCCACCATGAGATGAGCCACGTTGAGGTTTAATGAACGGATGGATGGGATGTTGGAGTATATTAATTTTATTATGTGTTAGGACAGGTTGTTGAAGGCCCATTTTTAGGGGAGGTTATGCAAAAAAAATTTTAAAATTTTGGCATTAGCTAGGGTCGTTACAAATTTGGTATCAGAGCGATGGTTCGAATACCATTAGGATAACGGGTAGAGGCTTGCCTAGGGTTGTCTGAGAAGTCATTTGCATTGTTATTTCCTTGTTTGGAAAAGTGTTTTGCTATGTAAAAAAATATGCTTAACTGCTTACTTGCTTACGTGCTTATGTGTTTATATGCTTACATTAATGTGTTCATTGCATAATATTACATGCTAAATGTTTGTACAGTATGTTTTTGCGTTGGGTTGTTCACGGTTGGACCTTAGTGTTATTGTTATTGAATTGTTTCCTTTGTTTTATAGAACGATGTCACGGCGTGAGGAAATCAGGGAAGTTGGCCCTAGACCGACTAGGAGTGATGTTGGCGAGAGCTCCAGCTCCAATCCGGAGGAGCTAAATGATGAGGACACACTTCTTAGGGACTTGATTCCCCCGAGAACTGTCCCTATAAGGAGGGATAATGTTGAAGCACCCGTAGAAGTGGGTGAAGGTTCTGTAGCACTGGAGTTTAATCATTTGTTGCAAAATGTCGTGAGGGCAACGATTGTTGCTCAGTCGCAGCCGGCACCACAACCTACAATTCAAGTTGAGGAGACGCCAGCTCAGAAGCGTCTCAAGATTATTAAGGGGTTTTCTCAGCTGATGCCGGTTATGTTTGAGGGCGGTGCGGATCCAATGATAGCAGATGACTACATAGAGCAAGTTGAAACTCAATTGACTTCTATGGATGTGACAGAGGATCATTTGAAGATCATCCTAGCTACTTATAAGTTTGCTAAGGATGCTAAATTATGGTGGAAGTCGGTTACGAGCCGATATAAGGTAGAAGAGATGAGTTGGGACAAGTTCAAGGAATTGTTTTATGAAAAGTACTTTCCGCTTTCCAAAAGATGGGAGTTACAAGACCAGTTTCATAACCTTATCCAAGGGAGCATGTCAGTGGTAGAATATGAAAACAAGTTCACTTCACTTTCTCGCTTTGCTCCAGAAATGGTGAGAGATGAAGTTAACAAGACTCGGAAGTTTGTTTCTGGTCTTAATGATCGGATGAGGCCGTTGATCACGGCACAGTTCATTAAGGTTTACTCTGAAGCAGTGGAAAGGGCTTTGATGCTGGAAGCTGATAATAAAAAGAAGGATGCAAGAAGAGAGCAGTTGAAGCAAAAGAGGGGTGTAGGGCTATCTTCAAAAAGATCTTCTTGGAAAAGGAACAGGGGCGGTCCATCTCAGTTTCAGGGACAGCAGTCTGCATGATCTGCTCCTACCACTCCGTTGCCAGCTAGGTCTGATAGGAATGCAGTTGTTTGCTTTCAATGTCAGCAGCCTGGGCATTACAAGTCCAGTTGTCCTATGAGATTGACTTCAGTTTCTTCAGCTCCGAAGGCTTGTTATGGGTGTGGCCAGCAGGGCCATTTGATTCGGGACTGTCCGAGTCAGGGAGCAGACACCACTAGTGGCAGAGGGTCACGGCAGAGGCCGTTACAGTCGGCTACGTTTCAATCAGGTTTCAGACCACCGCCACCACCACAGCCTGCCTTGTCTTCTCAGGGTTCACGACCAGTTAGGAGGGATACTCCTACTGTGTCGGCACAACAGTCTGGTGTTCAGATTAGTAGTTCACAGGCACAAGCACCGCAGGGGCGTGTCTTTACCCTTGCACCGACTGATGCATCTCCTGGATCTTCAGTTCTCCGAGGTATATTTCCAGTGTTTGGTTCTTGGGCCCGTGTTTTGTTTGATTCTGGTGTATCTCATTCTTTCATTTCATCATCATTTGCACTTGCATCGGGGTTAAAGGTCAGTTTTATGGATCGGGCGTTATGTATTGATACGCCAGTTGGAGTTTCAGTGTCTTTGAGCCGAGTCGTGAGGGACTATTCCATTGTGATAGCCGGGCGGACTTTTATGTTTGACCTTATCCTCCTAGAAATTACTAGCTTTGATGTCATTCTCGAGATGGATTGGTTAGCTTCTTTTCCTGCCACGATCGACTGTTTCAAAGAAAGGGTTACAGTTTGTACTCCCGAGGGAGACTGTTTCTTTTTCGCGGGAGATCGGAGTGATTCCCACATTTCATCGTTTTATGAAATTCGTGGACGGAGTCGTGGTGATTACTTTTTGGCTACCCTTATAGTCGAAGAGGATGATGTTGTGGAAGAATATTATCCTACAGTTGTTCGTGATTTTCTGGATGTGTTTCCGGAGGATTTGACAGAGTTGCCTCTACACCGAGAAGTGGAGTTCTCTATTGAGTTAATACCAGGTACCGCGCCGATTTCTATGGCACCAGTTGAATTGGAGGAATTAAAAAGACAGCTTAATGATTTGAGGATGAAAGGTTTCATCCGACCGAGTGTGTCACCATGGGGCGCACCGGTCTTGTTTGCTAAGAAGAAAAATGGTTCTTTGAGATTATGCATCGATTATCGGAAGTTGAATCGCGCCACCATCAAGAACAAGTATCCTTTGCCAAGGATAGATGATTTATTTAATCAGTTGAGGGGAGCCAATTGTTTCTCCAAGATTGACATGAGGTCTGGCTATTATCAGTTGCGGGTTAGGGATGAGGATATCCCGAAGACAGCATTCCGTACACGGTATGGACACTATGAGTTCCTTGTTATGCCTTTTGGCTTGACTAATGCTCCAGCGGCATTCATGGACTTAATGAACCGTGTCTTTCACGATTACTTGGACCAGTTTGT